ACCCCTACCTGCCATGTACCCAGTAAATCCCAATAAAAGCCTGCAAAAGCCACTGAGGGCTCCAGGACTCCTCCTTCACCCCATCTGCATAGAATCATAGAAAACCTGCTCAGTGTCCTTCCTGCTTTTACAATTGGCGTAAGTCGGCAAGATGATCCATGCAGATGGGTATGGAGCCCTCTGAAGACCTCTGGAGGGACCTCTGGAGCAGATTGAGAAACTGTGACAACGCTGGAGGTGTCATGGCAGCACAGGAGGTGGACAATGTCCGGGAGCTACAGGACGAGAACTTGCCTGGAGGAGGAGACAGCATGCAAGGACCAGCCAACAACCCCTGAGGCAGCAGAATTATTGGGGAAGAGAGGACCACGATTCAGAGTTCGACCAGTGCTGATGCTAGGAAACTGATGAAGTTGGACTAATGGACTAACAATCCTGCCAGAAGGCGGGGTACCTTGGTAAGTTTGATATGTTTGGGGGAATCTGGGGGTGGCCAGTGGGTCTTGTGGCCAAAAAAGCAGCCGGTGTGTTGCCCAGCAGCTAGGTGGAGGAGAAAAGCCAACTGAGAAGGCAAAAGCTGGTGCTAAGTTTGGAAAGCCCTGAGCGGCTGTTAAGCAGCTTGAATATGTTGAAGGCCACTGAGTCTCTTAAAATCACATGTGGGCGATGCCCTGCTCATTTTTGAGTAAGGGTGAGGATCTGAGGAGCCTGTCTTTGTGGGACGGGTGGGGAATGTGGCTTGTGGTGGAGCCCAAGCCGAAGAGGGGACCCGAGAGGCCGCATGTGGAGCTTGCTTCCATGGATCCCCGACCCATGTGCTTGTGCAGTGGGTTGGCCTGGGTGCAGGGGTCTGTGTGTCGCATTAGTGGCTATGAAGGCCGAGTGTTGGAGTGACCGCAGACAGAAACCCTGAGGGTTGGCGATTACCCCCAACAGTATAGAATAGCCAATCCTGGAGTGAGTGCATCCTGGGGGTGGATGCTGTGTGTGGCTTGTGGGAGAGACCACAGCCAGAGAAGGCCAGGAAGCCTGACAGCTCCTGGTGTGTGAGGCAGATGCCTGAGATGTTCCCCTCCCTTGTATGAGCAGTGCTTTCAGCAGCAGATTTGGTGGCTCATCTGCTGGTGCCAATAACTGTCTTTTGCCACTAGGTTGGTGCCCTGCCTGGACTTATTTGTGTTCTGTTGTACTTTGTTATATTGTGATGTATTTCATTTGCTTTTGTGGGCCATGGCTGCAGTGTTGTATTGCCAAGAGAAACATGTGTATAACTTATATAGACTGGCAGAAAACCCTGAGGAGGTGGATTGTAGGGTAAGGTAAAAGTATCAGGCTTTTCTGCCCTCCTGCCATTAGGATAGATGACCGGACCCTGCAGTCCGGAATGCATGCCTGATGGCGGGCACCTGGAGTAGGGTGTGGGCCTATGTAGATGGGATTCTCCTAGGCACATACTGGGATTTTAAGGGCGGCGTCACAGGGACACCAGCAGAAGCAGAACGAATGGAGAAAGGACAACCACGAGAGAAAGCCAGAAAGAGTGAAGACTTGCTGGGGGCTGAGAGGCCTCCCAGCCTCCCGGCTCCCCAGCACCCCTACCTACCATGTACCTGGTAAATCCCAATAAAAGCCTGCAAAAGCCACTGAAGGCTCCTGGACTCCTCCTTCACCCCATCTACACAGAATCCTAGAGACCTGCACTGTGCCCGTCCTGCACCCTACAGATAGGAAGCCAGAAATCTGCTGATTTCTCTCCTTATGTTTTCTTCATATCCTGTTGATTATTGAAGACTTAAAATTCATCTTCTAAAATTTTCATTTATCATTTATCACTTACAATCCTCTAATTGCCATCACCTCCTTTTAGGCTCTACAGTAACAGCCTCCAGATGGTAGAATTGAGGTCAACCAAATCAAATTGTTTGGCTTCCACGGGAAAGTGATGCTTCTGAGCCTGATGGTCCTGGTGGTGTTCTCCTTTCTTTGCTTACCTTGCAAGAACAGCAGGTGGACTTGGCAGAGTGAATCACAGGATAAAAATACCCCTACCCATCTTAATGGAGGGAAAAAAAGATTTTTCATGAGTTGGCAGTTATGTTTCTGAGCACAGGTCTAGAAGTATTCACTATCTAGAAGTGTTCACTGTCCTTGAAGTGACCTCTCTCTTCCACATAATTACTGTGGAGAATGGAACTAAAATACTTGTGGTTAAAGGGACAACACTCAAAGAGGTGCTCTTAGTTTTGTCACAGCTCTGGACAATTCCATGTGGTATTTATTGGTATAATGCTTACTGTATGTGACTAAACTATTCTAACAATCTTATGTGAAGGTGATGTGATTCTTGGAGTTCATAATAAGCAGGCAATCCTGGTTTGTATTCCCTAGAGTGTTAGGAGAAGGAAAGGAAGAAACTACAATCAGCCACAATTTTTCATGAAATTAATTATTCAGGGAATTTAGGAAAGTATTCATTCACATGGTCAATTACATATCAAAACCATAACATACCAAAATTAGTAAAAGTTTAGTATACTTTTTTTTTTTAGTTTTGGTGGGTAATGTCATTTGGTAGGATTCCTTATAATTATTAAATCATGATTATTATATGTGGAGATATTAAGAGCTATGGATTTTTATTTATTTAAAATATCACCTAGGTCCAAAATAGTGGCTTAAACTATCTTGGGGGGGGGTGTCACAGAATGTTTATTTAAGATTTATTTTATTTATGCATATAAGAACTGGTGTCTAGGCCAGAGGTGCAGGAAATGAGAGGATTTCTCAGAGACAGTGGGGAGCAGACAGGCAGATGTACTGAAATACACTGCAAAGGGGAGCAGCGGGTGAGACAGGAGAGGTCTGCTATGCCATGTGGGTTAGCTCCCTGGCTGGGATCCAATAAAACTGGCACAATGGGTTAAGACTCAGCCTAGAAACCTATGAAGCTATCCGCAACCACTGCACCACGAGTTTGATCCCCGACTAGAGAGATACCCACATGGCTCAGCAGACTTCTCCTGACTTGCCCGCTGTTCCCCTCAGCAGTGCATTTCAGTCAATTTGCCTGTTCTGTTCCCCACTCTGGTGAGTCCTCTCATCCCTACCAACTCTGGCCTATACCCCAATTCTTATATGTATAAATAAATCTTTAAAAAAAAAAACAAAACAAAACTCATGCAGCAGTGGCTGGGGAAAGCTTGATAGCTCTGAGACTTTAACACCTGTGCCACCAGGGAGGCCCCCACACAGAATGTTTATTAAACTGATGAATATAGTGAAGTCCCATGCCAAAAAAATCTGTATCCACAAAATACTGCATGCAATATCAGCAAATTCTTGAATGCTCTGAAATGCCATTCATAGAGACAAAATTTACTACTCCTACATTAGAAATTTGGTAACAATTCATTTTTTATCTTTTTAACATTTTGATGCAAATTTGTCATCTGTCATGCAAAAAGATATTTGAAAAATAAAAGAATTTTTTAAAAAAGAAGGGGTTTTCTTTCAGTTTTAGTAAACTTTCTGATCTGTATTTTCTGAAGTCATTTTGCCTGCTTTTCAAAAGGAATGTCTTTAAGGGAAATTTCTTAATTACCCCAAGCTAATCTCACTCTTGGCTTGTTCTCCTTATGTACTACAACTACCATGAGTTACATGTACTAAGTTTTGTCCTGTAAATATATGCTTAACCACAATCAGACTGTCTTAAAAACAGGGAGGAGCTCTGCCAACTCTTCTTTTTATTGTAGAGAATTCACAATAAAGTGTGAACTCACTAGTTTTTCAGATTCGTGGTAGTGAGAATATTTGGAGGAAACAAAGAGCCAGATGGAATTTTCTGAGTACAGCAACAGAAAACTTTGAAATGCAGTTTAATTAGATTTTCCAATAAATTAATTTGGAAGAAAACAAGTATTCCCTACAGCTAGAAATTATCTTAGAAAATTATCTTAGAAATCTTAGCCGAAATCTTAGATTTCAAGTTGTTAATACAAATTGAACTTCACCTACTGATGAGAAAAGCTTTGGCTCTTTTTTTAGAGGTTTTGAAATCTTAAGCAGAGAAATATTAGTGGTTACCAAAATGGAAGGGGATGAAGGGTGAATTAATAGGGTCAATTGTATGGTGAAGAGTGGAATTGTACTTTTAGTGTTAAGCTTGTATTGTATACCAACATTGATAATGATGCACAGCTGAAGCTATAACATTGTAATTTATGTCACATCAATAAAAAAAGAACAAAAATAGCAAAATCCTCCAATTTAAATAAATACATTTGCTTTAATAGTTTGTGACATTCCGAAATGATTAATGACTTTTGCCATCTGTAGCCTTTGTCACTACTGTCATGGCTAAAAATAATAGTTGCTTCTTATTTATTTTGGAAAGAGAAAAGGTGCAGCTCCCTCTCTATTTTTTGTAAAACTTCTAGCAGGGTTAATGTTTTGATTCTGTATAAATATTCAATTTTGATAGCATTATTTTCTATAACTTGTCTGGCATCATGTTATTGATAGATATCAAGCACTGAATCGGGGTTTTTGGAAGCAGGCTTGGAGTTGGAGGATACCAGATGGGCTCTTTCATGTTCTTGTCTTTGTTGAGGAAATAATTCAACTTCGAGACCAGAGTAACAGAAAAGCAAGAGATTTATTGGTAGATAGGAAGGACAGGAAAGCTACCTGAATGGAGAGGGGTCTCTAGTGGGTAGGCACTGAGGCAACAAGAAGCAGGTGTTTATATAGGTATAGTGGGCAAGGAATGGGGGTTTGGCCTTTGGATGTCTGCTGTAATGTGGGAAAACTCAGTGAGTCTGGTAGCCTAGGAGACCCCCATGGATCCAGCCAATCAATAAGAGACACAGTGCTTTTCTCTTACTCTGATCTCGAAGTTGGCTTTTTCAGGACTTTTTTTTTTTCCACTTATAGGAGACATCTGGAATAATCTTTTTTTAATTTATTTTTAATTTATATATTTTACATCATTTTTCATTTTTGTACAGTGTATGCATTTTCATGTAGGCTATAGTCCCCATAAAATTCCTATCACCCATTCATCTGTGAATCTTTCTACAGCATTTGCAGTGAGGCAACCAGGTACAGGACAGGCAGGGGGGGCGGGGGGCCAGGAGGCTGGCAGGCCTCCTAGTCCTGGGTGAATCTTCACTTTTCTGGGCTCTCTGGTGTTCTCTCCTGGTCTCTACTGCGCTCAGCTGCACGGTCCTCTGCCCTCTCTGCACCCTCCACCTGTCCTCTGCTGCCGAGCCTCTGTGTCCCCATATCCCGGAGTCATGGGTTGTTTGTTCTTACCAACTAGGGTTCAAAATTGGTGGGCAGCTTTTCTTTAAAAATCACTCTGGGATTACACATTTAAAAAACAGAAACCCCCCTTTTCCTTCTCATGCTTAGTATTATCATCATGTTCTCTCTGCTCTTTCATAGTTCTGTGGGGCAAACGTAAGTAAAAAGCCACCCAAAACCTTACTTTGTTTTTTAAACCATATTAAAAAAAATATTATGATACACCAGTGTGCGAATAGGAGACACTGTCACTTTATTTGAACCTCTTTAGAGAAAGTCCAAGTAGCAAATGAATTTGATGCCATTTCACTTTGTACGGGGAAAGAATACATTTCTATTAATCCAAGATAAAATCTAATGATAAAAATCTAGATTGAGTCAGATCTGTATTTTGTTAACATTTTTATTGCTACGTGCTCCCAATACAACAAACAGCATCAGTAGTGTACACTTTGATAAAAAGGAATTTTTAGCTTAGTAGCAAAGGAAGCCCAAAGGTCAGAAGTGAAACGAATATGTACATCTTTATGGGAGGTGTATGTGTGTGACCAGCTTTCTCTATATTTCCCCGGTGTTACAGACATATGCACACGCAAGCAAACTAGAGAGAATTTCATCCTGGGGAAAATTTTAGGAAAAAAAAAAAAAGACTTCTACTTGAGACTCAGGGATTGGTTAATGATCTAGAATTCACCTAATTCATTCAACTTTCAAAAGTCTTGCATAAAGTAGCAGCTATTCTTTAGAGGTATAGAGTCAATAGGTGAAGCTGTTAGTTTACCATGATTAAAATGCAGAAGTCTTTGCACATTCTGTGCTTTGAGAGGTTAACATGTCTACATTTTATTTTCCAAAATATTGTTTTGGACAGTTTAGGAGCTGAAGTCAAAAACATTATGGGACAATGCATTTTCCTTGTTCATTTAAGTGTAATTCATTAAGTACTTATCTGTTTCACATATTTTTAAAATGTTTCTAATTTACTATCATTAAACAGCTAGCTATCTGAGTCCATACTATTTTACCTTTCTTTGAAAGGGAACATATCAATTTTGTATCAACTACTCTAAAAATGCACAACATCAAATTTGTTTAACTTTAGCTCTTCAATTTGGCTGTCTTAGTTTACTTATATTTCTCCTCTATGCACAGAACAAAGCATGCATCTCTAATTAGGTCTCTCTAGTTTACCAAAATATGTCATTGATATTAGCGTAAATATTTAGTACATAAAAATACTATCAAGAAAAAAAATCAACATTTAATAAATATCTTCAGTTCTGAAATCTATATACAAGTACTTTACATCTACTCCCTGGAGAGAGCATTTCTGGCTTCACTGTGAGCAAGGTGACCACTGACATAAATTACTAGCACATTATTGCAGTCAGATGCATTGTGGTTGTGAACATTTGAATATGAACCATGCGGAAAATAAATATCGCAACCATTGGCAAAAGCTTTCTTGAGCCTGCTTCCAAAACCCTACTATATCCTTGAGTATCAATTCTGAATTTATGATGCTTATCTCAGCTACCAACATACAAACAAATGATCTTTTTCCTTTGTTATAATTACAGTACATTGAGTATATCTTTTGTATAAGTCAACAATGGGGAAATAAAAACATAATACATAGAGTACTTCAATAGTGTTTTTTGAGGTCCTAAAAAGAAAGTGTTAGCCTTGTCTTGAACAGGCTTATTTATCAGCATCTGTTCCCTATGACCAAAAGTATACTAAGACACCAATCCTATTCTATTTTATTTAAAGAATGGAAGGTAATAAATAACCTAAAATCTGTATATCTGCAGCTTATGTTTTTTTCTCTTTCTGTAATACAGGAGTCATAGTGTTGATTAAACAAACCACACAACAAAATTCTTTGCATTATCAGTAGCTGCAAGTCTAATTTCTTCTCTGCAACACTCTGTTTTGAAAATCAACTCATAGAATGTCAAATAAGGCAATACTCAATGACAGGCACCTAGAACATCCAGAAATGTAATATAGTAAACAATCATTTGAGAACACATCTCTTAAAATAATACTGATTTTTGCAATATACAGTATTTACACAATAGCTGCAAATTTGCTCATACAATGTTTCTAATATAGATAAATAGGAATGCAAGTCTAAGAATTTTTTGCTCTACTTTCAAAACCTTTTGTTAAAATGTAAACCATTGGCACCTTTTTTATTTTTACTGTAACTTTTTTAAAACAAAAAATCAGCTGATATGCACAATTGGTTCCAGTCCCTTTTCTGCTTTAGAGAGTTACTTTCCTTCTGTTAATAATCTTTGGTGCTTTCCTTCCAATGAATTCTGGGAAATGAGTCAATGCAGAATAAAAGGAGGATGAAAGCAATTAGAAAGTGAACCAGCACTTTTTGTTCTTCCACTTACAGATAGAATGAGTTGACTATCTACAGAGAGTTCTACTTTAAACAGGCTATGCACCATGGGGAAGGGGAGCTTGTCCAGATTTTCTTCTCACATTTAGTCTTTTAGGTTCACTTTCTCATCTTTCCAAGGTGGATGATCTTATTGGACGTCTCTTGTCTGTAATTTTTTCATCTTTCTTTGAGGTTCTTGTCTGAGAAGAAGCACCTATGGAATCACTGACTGGAAGGAAAGAGGCAGCAGCCATTTGTGAAGATGAATTGAGGTCGTCACCCTTCGTGGGTGAGGAGGCCAGTCTCGGAGTCTTGCTTCCGGTCAGCTGAGCTCTCCTCTGGGGTAAGTTAGCACCATCAGGTTTACTACCTGGCCTAAAAGCAGCATATGCATTTGAACCTCCCACCAATGAGCTCCTACTCAAAGATTTCTTCTTCTCAGCAGGGGTCTCTGAATGGTATGGAACCAAAGATGTAGGCATCATGAGAGATCCAGGGAGGTCACTAGGGTTAAAGATAGCATCATCATGAGTTTCAGCAGCTTCTGGAAGGTATGGTGGTGGCAGGGTGCTGCTGCGCTTGCTACATGACTCACAGCATAACTTGTTATAACCTGGTATGGAGCAGTAGCGGGCCAGCACTTCCATTTGACAGAATATTGACTTATCTCCCAAACATGGCTCATCTGCAAAAATTAATAGGAAACAAAATAAAACATACACCTAAACATAAAATCAAAGGGAGAGAGAAATTAACAATAATCATTGTTTATGAATATAAAAAGACAGGTAAAATCTGAGATTGACTAAAGTATTCATGTGAGCCACTGTATTAAAAAAAAGAATGTTAGAATAAATTCACTGAAATAGCAGTTTTTTATGTGCAACGTACTTGTATTGACCACCATTTAATATCTCCATCCTGAATCTTCAAATCAAGCGTGTTTTTTTCTTCCTAGTATGAACATATCCGTGATTTTAGAGTAGGAAAATGGGATTATTTACCATGAACATTTTAAGGATATAAAGGGGCATCTGCTTTTATATTTTATGGTATTCTGACTTCCTAATAAAACAGGCTCTGCATTAAATTTAAATTTAAAATGAAAATAAATACTAAAGACCTACTGAAACAAATTAAATCTTAAAAATGTATTACCAAAAGAAAAGCCAAGATACCATTTTGATTAGAAGAATATCCTCCAGAGTGAATACAATAGTTTCATGCTCATTAGTGAATATTTTCAGGTTATTTGCTGCTTGAAAGCACAATTTGTAAATCTGTAAAGTGTGCCAGCCTTTTAATGAATAATTCATGGTTCTTAAATTTAATTGCATTGAATTGGTAGCATTTTATGTTTAAAGCTTACTCAGGTAACATTCTAAGACACCTGAGACATCTAAAGTAACATATACTTGATCCATGGGTATGTGCTATTTCTATTTCTATTATTTTAAAATTGCATTGATTACAGATTATAAGAATTAATTTTTTTAAAATTCCAAATGTTGAGTTCATGAAAATGTTATGTTTGTATTTCAGTCCTACCAAGGCTCACACTACGCATAGTCCATATACACATGGTAACACAGAAATATGGATCTCATGCCCCCATGCCCAACTAGCAAGGGCAGAGGATTGCAAATTGTGACAGTGATGTATCTGCAGTGCCAACCAGCACAGGGCAGGTTCACTAGCTATTTGGGCAGATGGATAAGGAGAGCCAAGTAGAGTCCAGGAGCCTGTAGTGGATTTTTCAGGCTTTAATGTTCTGTCAGGGAACCAGGTACACAGGCACACCAGGCAGGGAAGCTGGCATGCAAGGAGGCAGGCATGGGTGGGGTAGGAGGGTTTGGAAGGCAGGCTTCACACTTTCTCTGGGCGTTCTCTGGCATTCTCTCCTGGTCTTGCCTCTTCTGTATTTACTCTTCTTGCAGCCATCCTCTGTCTCTAGGCTCAGGTGTGCACACTTACTCATGCCCACACCATGTTCCAGGTGTCCACCATCAGACACGCATGTCCCAGACCCATGCTCCCAAGCGCCTTATGAGTTAACATGATCAAGACTGCAGGTGACAGCCAGAGGCTAGTGGTGTAAGAAGTTTGACTAATTCACTTATCCTACAATATCACTTACAATGTAGGGCCTCCCTGGTGGCTCAGGGGTTAAATCTCATGCTATCAAGCTATAGACAGCCACTGCATGAGTTCGATCCCCTGCCAGGGAGCTGACCTGCATGAATCAGGAGACCTCTCCTGCCTTGCCTGCTGCTCCCCTCAGCAGTGTATTTCAGTAGATCTGCCTGTTTGCTTCCCACTCTGTCTCTGGTGAATCCTCTCACCCCCGACACCTCTGACCTACATCCCAGTTCTTGTATGCATAAACAAATAAAAATAAATCTTAAAAAAATTACAATATAATGTTGGATAATGTTATATTGTTAGGCAAAGATGCTGGTCTATTGCTTGCCAAAGAACTTGAATCTTTTTTCTAAAGTCTGGGTAAAAAAGGAGGGTCAATTGGCAAAGCCAGTGGAAGGCTAAAATTACCATCTTTCTTAGTCAAATACTGTATCCACTCCCAAAATTGTAGAATGACTTGTATTTGCTTCACATTTACGGATTATAGAGTATTCTGTGCTTGAATAGTTCATATTTTTGAGCTATTCATCTAATTATGCTGTAAATGTGCGAGAATCACATTAATGGGCTCCATCTCAAATACGAATTCATCATCGTATCTGAATTATTTTTTCTTTGCCTATTATCTTGAAATAAGAAAATTAATTTCTTCTTCGTATATGTTTCGGACTTTAGGCCCTACAGTGAAAGGACCGTATTTGACTCAGTACTTTGTTTGCTTTCTGACCTCTCACTCCCATCACCCCCATTCTGTGACCCAGCTCAGAAGGGTGACCTATTCTGAGGTGAAGAAGGAATCCCCGTGTTGTGGCTATGTGTGAGCACCTCTGCACTGCAGAGACCAGTTCACAGTCTGTTTCTAATTAGGGCCAGAATATGCTTCATTGTGGAGCAGGAAAGCGGAGAGATTCTGAGACAAAACATAGGGGAAAAAAAAGGAATATATTCATAAGGAATATATTTATTTTATGGCAGTTTGCCTAGGGATAGATGGGAAGGACTTAACGGGCCTATGAAAGTAATAATTGGCCAAAATCAATTATTAAAATGAAGGGAGTTCTTTAGCCTCTTGCTCTATGCCTAAATCATTATAAGAATTTCAGGAAAATGACTTACAGGTGGCCTCAAAAGGCTACTTGATTCTAATTGCTATTACTAGTGGGAAGTATTACTTATTTGTTTGAAATATGGTAGAAACGTGGGCTTTTAAAATTTTTAGTATTGACATGAGCTTATATTTCAGAGCAAGAGAGAAGTTAAAAGGAAGTAGAATTACTAAAATAATTGTATCATCTCGTTAGCAATTTCATTTTATAATAAAAGCACTTTCTTTTGGCTTATGGGAGAGAACCAGGCAAACTGTTGCACACAATTGGTCATATCCCCAGAAATATATAGCTCTAACAGGTATTAAGATCAATAAAGTTGACTTTCTGTGTTTGATCTCCTGACAGTAATGCCTTCATAAGAATAAAGTCTAATGGCAAGAGTGACATTACAGCTTTTAACTTGGGAAAGTCTGTCCTTCTGTGTTTAGAACTTCCAAAGATACTTTCCACAAAAATTGATTAAATATAAATTCCTTTGTCTCCCCCTCATGGTTATACTTGCTCATGCCACCAAATTTTAAATTAAAATTTATAATGAAATAACCTGTAAGGTTTCTATTGAAACTTGAAATTTCAAAACAAAACCAAAAAAAAGCCTTTTGATAAAATATGCCAATTGTATTGAGAAAAAGGAAGTACCATTGGGAGATGCCAATATTCCAGCAGCAGCTTACTTAGGGTAGGTAACTATGATGTGGGACAAGTGGGGGTTCTTGGACCCCTGTGAGAATGAATCCAACAAAGTCACCTTAACTGGCAAAGGTAGGTTTATTAAGAAAAAGAGACAGTTGCATATACACAAGCAGGCAAAGGTTGTGGGGTTTTTGGTTTGTTTTTCTTTCTTTTTTTTAAAGATTTTATTTATTTATACAAGAGCTGGGGTACAGGCCAGATGTGCGGAGGGTGAGAGGATTCACCAGAGACAGAGTGGGGAACAGAAGAGGCAGACTGATGAAATACACTGCTGAGGGGAGCAGCAGGTGAGACAGGAGAGGTCTGTTGCGCCATGTGGGTTCTCCCTGGCTGGCCAGACATCGAACCCGTGCTGCAGAGGCTGAGGATGGCTTCCCAGTGTTGCGCTCAACCTGCTGCGCCACAGGGGAGGCCCAAAGGTTTTGTCTTTAAAGGACAGGAATGGCCTTTATTTTGTTCTTAGGTGGCATTTCTCATTGTTCTTGGTGGAATTTCTCACTTTGGAGTAGGGTTGGTTAACTATTTCTACCCCCACCTCTGTTTCTAGCCTGTGAAACATGCACGGCAAGTTTTAGAGTCTCTGTTAATCATCCCTGCTCTCCCCTCTAGACCCCTTCACCTCCTCCAGGAGGCAGGCAGTCCAGGGACAGGAGGCAAGGTGTTTGGCTTTCTCAGCAGGGTGTTTTCTTCAGCAATCAACAGGTTTGTTTCTACTACCCCTATCAACCTCAGAGGGACCCAGAGAATTTTATTAGAGATGTAACAGAATCAATTTTTCAAGTTCCTAGTAACTTGAATTGGATCCAGTTAATGGTTCATCACAAGAAGATGATATAAGGGGAGCAATTCAGTGAGTTAACAGTTAATTTTAAAGACTGGAATACAATTCAGTGGTCAGATTTTAATTATGCACATTCTCAAATTTTTAGAGTAGGGCTTCTGCTGCAAAATTGAGAGAATCCTACTACTGCAATAGCAACGGAGAAACCCCAGAGATTGTCATGAAAGGTCTATCTGTTTTTTGAGACTTAAACACTACTGTCAGGCCAGTAAAATTAACCAGGGTCACACTTACCATGACAGGGAGGCAGCTGACAGGCTCTCACTGACTCTGGCTTTTCACCCTCGCAGAGGTCTCCAGCCCTGCACAAAACCTGCCTTACCTCCGTCCCTTCGCCACAGGTCACTGAACACTGCAGAAACAAAGGCTGCAATTAGAGACCTCTATTCCCCCAATATTGTCTTTCTCCATGCTTGTCGGCATGAATGTACATACATATATGCATGCACATACACGCACACACAGTTGTGAAGTTCTTTCTCAGTGGATGTGCTGTGGCACAGTGGTTTTGGAAACAGATAAACCCAGGTTTATCCTCTGACTCCATCCTTTCCTAGCTTAGACACATTTTCCCTTTTCTCTGAAAGCTGGGATAAAAATACTTGCCTTCTAGGAGTATTGTAGGACTGAATGATGGCAAATGAGACATTGTATGTAAAACAACTGTGTCTGGCACATAGTGTTACAGAAAACTGTCTGCCAGGCTAGAAAGGGCCAGTTGGCACTCTAAGGTCTAGCAGGTACAGTTTTATTGATTATCACAACTGCGGGCTCCAGACTGGGACGGTCTCCAGAATCTGGAGTGCTGGGCATACACAAAAGCTTCTTTTTATAGTTTCACATAGGTTACATGGGTAGTTTACAACTTGAGTTACAAGGTCATGCAGCTGGAGGACGAGCAAAAAAGGGAAAACATCAAAGGAAGGGAAGCCATCAAAGGAAGCCTTCAGCCCCTCCGGCTGAAGGCTCTGGATGGTCCTGCCACCCTGCTCCCTCCTCTGGGAATGCAGCATTGTCAGTGATAAGGGAAAGCAGGCTGGTTTTCTGGTTTTCTTCCTTTTCAATAGTAGGCACTCACTGTAACAAAGTCATTATTATAATGTTAACACATGTATGACTCCTAAAAATAGTAGCAGAGTCTGTTTTCAGGGAACCAAGCATAATAGTGAGTTTTCCATTCTTTGACTATCCTTATGAATGGCAGAATTTACTGGCATCCTATGTTGGTTAATGTAAACTCTTTGGAACTACTAGTACTCTTTTCCCCATAAATTCATTTCTTTAATGAGAGAGTTAACTGCTTTAAAACTAAGTCCAGGGCCTCCCTGGTGGCACAAGGGGTTAAGCATAGCACTGAGAAGCTATCTGCAGCCTCTGAAGCAGGAGTTCAAGCTTGGGCCAGGGAGCTACCCACATGGGGCAGCAGACCTCTCCTGTCTCACCTGCTGCTCCCCTCAGCAGTGTATTTGTCAGTCTGCCTATTCTGTTCCCCACTATGTCTCTGGTGAATCCTCTCATCACCCCCCATAACTCTGGCCTATACCCCAGTTCTTGTATGCATAAATAAATAAATCTTAAAAAAAAAAAAAAACTAAGTCCAGAAACATCTCTGCTCTTGTTTAGGTAGGAGTTGTAAAGTAAGGGCTCTTGTTCAAGGACTCAAAAGAGAATAGGACACCAGTTATCCTGGAAAGTCCTATGTGCGGGACTTTCACTTGCCTGTTCCCTCCTTCCTGGGCCTGCTCTCTGTTTCCTCCTTCATTCCCTATTAAGCTTATTGATACTTTCCTTCCTGAAAGCTTTTTTCCTATGAACCCATGATTCCTCATTTTGAGTATTAAGAAATACAAAGAGGTGGCATTAACATGGGCAACATAACACTGATTCAGCCAGCCACCAAGCTAATATCATTTAGACAGATACTGGCTGGGTGAGAAATGTGTGGATGATAGCACAGACTCAAAGACAAGAGTTATAATATGTGGCCATGAGGTCCCTGGAGGTCAGCCTCTTTGTCTTTGGAAGGCAGAGGAAGAGGTGATGGAAATGCACCCCTAAAAGGGATTACTGGACCTTGGAGATGAGCCTTAGTGGATGGTAACAGGAGGAAGAGGAAGGGCTGGTCAACCAAAAGGCAGGAGGCTTAAACCAGCATGGTCTTTGTGGAACCAAGAAGTTTACACAAATTGGGTCAAGAGTTGAAATGAAGAAAGACAGAATAAAAAAAGTTAGTGCAGGAATAGTGAAGTGACCAATAAGATGAGAAGATCATTCACCTTTAGTCTCCTCTAGGGTGCAAAATACCCAAATATGGGGCCTACCAACTAATCTTACAAGCAAATACTGTCTTATTGATTTGATTGTTTGATCCATTAATTTTTTTTTAAATCAGAAATAACATTACATTGTAAGATTATATCAGCTGTACTGTTTCAAAATATTAGTTTTTGCTGATAACTCCAGGTACAAAATATGTGACAGTTTATTGACACAAAGCCTACCTGATGCGTAAGTCCAGTTAACTTATGAAGCACGTGCTTACACATACATGTACACATGCACTTGCACAGCGGAATTCACATACCCACCTCATTCCAGGGCCCTGTTTTCCACTGTGCTGGGCAGGGCACTCGGTTACAAGGCCGGCGGCTCTCAGGACGGTCCCCCACACAGTACTTGCTGTGCACAGAGCGGTTGGTGCCATCGTGGAGTGGCTGCAGGCAGCGGACAGTGCGAAGCTGATAGCCCGAGCTCCCACAGGTTTTGGTGCAGTGCTCCCACTCTTCTGCTACCCAGCTATAGGTTTGGGGGTTGAGATTGAACATAGTCACTGGGGTGCAAGTGCACCTTTCTGCACAGCAAGTCTAGCCTTTTCTGCTGTCTGAGTGATGTGCAACCCAGGAGGTATACTGCATTTCTGAAAGCAGTTTCAGAAAGATGCATGCATCAAACGATTAAAAAGTCTTAGAACTATCACACAATAATAGGCCTGATGCTTCGATTTTTAATTCCCCAATATTTTTCTGCTTCCCAGTGACTCTGAAACTGTCTCTGTTCCTAATGGATGATGGACAGAGGTTCCTGAAATTGATCTTAAAGTTGCCTGGTTAGGTGCAGGCTTGATGATTGGTTGTTTTCAACAATAGCCCCAACTAGCTCTCAGCCATCCTGACTAATGGTGTTTCCGAAAGGCAATTAGAAAAAGGAATCCATCAGATACTTGCTAAGACAAACTAATTTGACCATTAATGAATTTTTATGAAATCATGAGTTCACTTGTCTTTTAATATTCTGAGGTTACAGTTTCACTTCTATGGGTTGTTGCTGTAAAGGCTACCTGCCCTATCTGTCATGTATGGAGAATTCAGTTCTCACTGGCCCTGACAACAGGAAAGGTGGTGTGTATCCTGGGCTGTGCAGAACCTGCTTCTATGAATGCACCTGATAGAAATATTTCCAAGGAGATGTTTTTAAAAAGATTTCCTACCCAACAGCATAAGGACTAAGGTGATGCATCACAGGTAGTAAAGTAGTCAGAGAACTGCTGGGACTACACCTGGGGGTAGAAATCAAATACTGTCCAAAATGAACAATAATGTAAGAAAATAAATTACTTAAAAAGAGGCATTTGAAATTAAAAGAAAAATTTCCTTCCCATGGGACATTTCCAAATTCTAGTGAATTGTCAGTTCCCTCAGCATTTGTCAAATTGGCTGTGGACACATTCCGTGGGGCTAACAGCTCTAAAGGATTGTCAATCATTGTTTCATCTGTGAATCAGTCTGTCAGAATGTAATTGAGCACACTATTTGTTCTTTCTAAAAAATTTTTTTCCCCTGCAATTTTTCTTTCCTTGTATATAGGGCACCAAAATATAATCCTGTTAAAACATTGCTAGCCTTTGGTATTCAGTTTGACTGTCTAGCTTATCAGATTGTCAAGACTGGCAGTAGAAAGTATTGCAGCAACTAAGAAATTTTACCCAATTTTGAAAACTTAACTAGTGACTTTAATTTGAAGGCAAATATTGCAGTCATAGGTAGTTCTAGTTTCCTCCTGAAATCTCAAAGGTGACAATAAAAGTTAAAAAAAAAACAAAACTGGCATAAACTCACTAAGGCAAAAAAAAAAAAAAAAATGGAGAAGAAAGTACCACAAGATAATTTTCAAAGCTAGAAAGTAGTGGAACATATGATGACTATCTCAGCAAACACAAAAAAGGTGAAGTCCAAGGCAGCAGCATAAGCAAACTGACTTAACTGAAGAACTTCACAAGTGCACGGGGATTAGTGGTTTCAGGTGAAAGGTGGGTGTGAGGACATGGATGATAACAGGGTAACTGAAGGAAGATTTGTTGGGAAGCAATAAGACCTCCTGACCTTTCCTCCCACTAGGGGATTCCTCTGACCCAGCAGAAAACTTGAGATTTAGCCCCTGTAAGAAGCAAACCAGACTGTCAACAGCTGGGCAGCAGACATAATCAAGAGCCAAGAGAGAAAGAGATTATAGTGAAATCAGGCAGTTATGAATTTAATATTTAGAGGCAACTGATAACTATAAAAGAAGAGTTTAAGACCAATTAGTGAAAAGTAGTAGAAAACAATATATAAAAAATTAGACATCCATTAACTCTAAAAGAAACAAAATTTTACAAGAAAATAAGCAAAATAAGAGCATGCGAAGTGAATTAACTATTAAGGGAGATACATGTCATTAAATAATATAAATGGAATATTAATATCAATGAATAGGTTATAACGATATTGGAAATACTGGGCAAAGGAGAAGTGTGACCTGAGGGTATGAACTTGGGGAAGGACTGTGAAAAAACACTACATGGTCACAAGCCATAGTGAAAATTCAATATCCAGAATTTTTTTTTTTTTAAGATTTATATATTTATACAAGAACTGGGGTACAGGCCAGAGGCATGGGAGGGTGAGAGAATTCACCAGAGACAGTGAGGGCAGCAGAACAGGCAGATGGACCGAAAACACTGCTGAGGGGAGCAGTGGGTGAGACAGGAGAGGTCTGCTGCACCATGTGGGTAGCTCCCTGGCTGGCTGGGAATCAAACCCGCGCTACAGAGGCTGTGGACAGCTTCACAGTGCTGCACTCAACCTGCTGTGCCACCAAAGAGGACCAATATATCCAGAATTTCTAACCCTCCACCTCCCCCACAAAAGTCAAACAGTAGAAGCAAAAGCATTTTATTTAGAGAAATAGTCACCAAATATTAAAAGAAGCATAATAGATGAAAGGGATTGTTTTTGAGGAGCAGGAACATGGTAAAGACAGGGGACCACAGCTTTACGTGATCAGATCAACACAGCCAGGCTCATATATTAAAAATAACAGCAAAACTAAAAAGAGCTGATGAGCTTAAATTAGTTTTGTCCTCAGGATATGATACTTATTAAATACTTACAGTGGATGTGTGCACTCTTGAATATTGCATATTCTTCGAATAGGTTTTGGTTTTTTGTTGGCCTCACAGAAATTCCGATGAACCATTTTATTATCACTTTTCCTACGACATCCGTATTTAGTATACTGGAAACCTGGGGAGGGAAATATACTTTGTTGGTTTTAATCATTCATTCATTCTATTATATATCTGATCTTTCACTGAGTCATTGGCTTAACAAATATTTATCGAACTTTTAAAATAAGCCAGACACTGTTTTAGATATTGAAAGCTCAGAAGTGAACTAAACAGTCTCATCTTTTTAGAGCTTACATTTAATGAACAATGCAAATTATTAAATAACAACTGTGTACTTGTTAATGTAGTTGTTAATGAATGTGAACAGGCCAATGTGAGGAACAGCTATGAAAAGAACTTACTGTAGAGGGCACCAAAGGAACACAGAGGGGACAGATTCTAACTGCTGGAGGAAGAACAGGGAAACTTAGGGGATCAGTGTTGCCTTATGCAGAATCTTGGAAGTTCAAATAGTACTGGATAAAAGGGATTAAGCAGAGTAATATTGCACACAGAGGAAATAACTTATAGAAACTTTAGGTTTCTGACTAGCGTATCAGGAGTGCAAAGTGAATTAACTATTAAGGGAGATGCATGAGTGGGGCGGGAGATAGGAAAGGATCTCTGATCTTAAAATCTTTCAGTGTCAGATAAAGATCACTGTTCCTATAATGTTCTTTACAGCAATGTTTTTCCATGCATTCAGCTGTCATGGAAATAATCAGGAATAGTTTCCATGTCTCTTTTTGTCTTTACTAATTTAAATATACAGGTCAGTTGTTTTGTAAAATGTCCTACAATTTGGGCTTATTTAACTATCTCTTAATGACTAGATTCAAGTTATTCACTTTTGGCAAAAGTACTACATAAAGAACATATCTTCCAGGGCAACACATTAGCAAACTGAAAGATTTGAATTGGGGAAATAATATAATTCTGTTCTTTTGTTCAATTATTTATTCGAGCATTTAAGAAAGACTACCCTAGACAAAAAGGATGAGAAGAAAATCTCAATTAGTTTACCAGTGAAAGAGAGTCTTTTGCAATAATCTTTCCTTCTAAAGTTGAGAAGGAAGCCTGCTGAGGAAGGAATAGCTATAGTAGATATTGAAAAGGTACACCTGACAAATTTTGTGATCAAATGTTGAAGGTGCAGCAGAAGTAAGAATAAAATTAAATAGGTAACTTGTAAATGAATAAGGTGTCATTTTAAATAATTAAAGACATTTTATGTCACCTCCCCAAAAAACAAATTTTAGAAATATATCCTGAGGGGGCATTCCTGGTGGTACAAGGGGTTAAGTCTCAGCTCTATGCAGCATTCCGCAGCCACAGCAGCAAGAGTTCTATCCCTGGCCAGGGAGCTACCCACATGGCACAGCAGACCTCTCCTGTCTCACCTGCTGCTCCCCTCAGCAGTGTATTTCAGTGGAGCTGCCTGTTCTACTCCCCACTCTTTCTCTGGTGAATCCTTTTACCCTCCTGCACCTCTGGCCTATACCCCAGCTCTTATATGCATAAATAAATAAGTCTTTAAAAAAAGGAAAAAAACAAATATATCCTTGAATTTAAAATTGTAAAATAAATGGTTTACCCATGCATTCCCTAATATGAATGCCTTTTTCTTAATTATTTGGTATTATTATTATTGTGTAGCCCCTTGCCTTCTCCTGACTATTGGAGAGAATTCTGACCAGATCAGTTCTGGAGCATCTGTTGTTCAAAACAGCATGGATGATGCTAGGAATCAAGAGACTCTAAGACTTGCTTGATGGATTTTCTCTACATAATGCAGCATTATGTAGACAGAAGCCAGACTTCCTGGGTTTGTATTTTAATGGCTTGGGCAAATTATTTCTCTTACCTGCACTTCAGTTTCCCCATCAGCACCCTAGAGATAGTAACTATACTGATCTCAGAGAGCCACAGTGATCATGCATGCATTAATACAAGAAGCATTTAAAGCATTATCTAGTACATAGTGCTGCTAATAGTTCTTTTATTATTATTAACAATGATAGGAAAGAAGTGCATAGATATCAAATGTAAGAGGCAAGAACCAAAGGATACTGAATTTGGAAGAGTTTGGGAAGTGATTAAAAGTATCTCCACAGAATGCGAGAGAGAAAGAATCCCAGGGGAAGAGGTAAGAGGATTTTAAGATCTACTGTTGTTTTGAATGGATTCTGATTGAAACAATAAATAAGATAGAAACAGGAAGACGTGTTCTGATTGAAACAATAAATAAGATAGAAACAGGAAGACGTGTTTATAGAATTACTTTTTACTATAGCAAATGTGCTCAATTGTTACCTCCACCGCAGGGTTTGGAACACTGCGACCAGCTCTTCAAAGCCCACTCAAAAGTGTCTACCTCCTCCTGGATAACATTGTTGTTGTTGATTGTAGGTGCTGAGTCTTCGTGGATGATGTACTTATATGTCAGGCTGGAGCGGGTGTCATTCTCCTGGGGTATAATCTAACATACATGTGAAATAGTGAATCATTAGAGGGTTTAAACATTTGAAAGAAAAAAATAAAAACATTTCTCAATATTGCTTTTATTAAAATCAGAAGACTTTCAAATAGTCTCAAAAAATATAATGGTTTTGTTTTTTTCAATTAAAGTGTGTGTGCCCTGCCTAAGAAGAAAATGCAAATATATAAAACATTGACCATAAAATACATTAGAAGTATATACATGGAGGAATTATTATTGTAAAAATAATAACCACTGTGGTGATTTCTGATTGTCCTTAGTGTACAAAAGGGTATACTTTTTACCATTCTTACAGTGGACTTCTGGCTGGCTCTCCAGAACAGTTACAGAAATTACTGCTTCCATAATGAGAGTATATAAAAATGTACCCACTCAGTATTACATGTTATATAACTTCCCTTGTTAATTGAATGCACAAAAGATTATTTTAATTGCTAGTTATCTGATGAAGAGTAAGTTTTATTTTCCCAAATTTATTAATCACTTGTATTTTTGGGCTACATTGCATGCTCATGTCATGTCCTCTTTTTTATTGCTATAGATTTTTTTTCTAAGAAATCTATGTAATAAGGATATTAGCCCTTTTTATAATAAACATTGCAAATGCATTCTCAACTTTTATTTGCTTTTTAACTTCATTCAGAGCAAAGTACTCTGTTTTTAAAAAGTAAGTTTTATTGACTTTCTTGTAGTTTATATAAGATTACACTGATAATATGAAGGGAAAGTCATGCACATTTCATTAGTATTCTAAACAAAAAGTTTAGAAACAGCCTTTTTTGAGAAATCCATTGATACTAAACCCTCTAAGATACAGAATTTGATGATCTGAGTTCTGTTCTCTTCCTTTATTCTTTGTTTTTAAAAAGCATGAAATATCAAGCGCTGACTCTTATGCTATAGCCGAACAGCTAATTCTATCAGGTCAAGATGGCTTGAATGCTGTGCTCTGGGGCTCTACCCTGGGGTTCCAGTCCTTTTGAGAGGAAAGGAAAGGTCATCACGATAGAGTACTGCTTTTCCATAATCCCTGTTCTAGCTACAAATCTTCTTAATCTCCAGTTCACATGGTTCCTGTAGTCATACAACTGTCAGTGGGCAAAACCTTGAGGGAAGGTCTATCATGATGGTAAAACAGCAGGGTTTTGGGGTCAGATACCTGGGCTGCTGAAAATGCAGTATAGTTATATAAAAGTAAAATAGGCCTTTCAATCTCTAATCATTCAACTGTACTGTAATCTAAATAAAATTTTTATTAACATATATTTTTTTGTATGAGATTATGTAACCAATGGAATAGAATGAGAGTCCAAGAAAAGCCCATATAAATTTGGACAACTAGTTTTTGACATAGATGAAAAGGCAATTAATGGTAAAGGATAATTTTATCAACAGTTGGTGCTGAAACAATTGGACATTGTTATGGCTTTAAAAAATATTTCCATCAAGAAGATGTGGTATATATACATTCATGCCAATTGTGGCAACATGGATGGAGCTGTAAGGGATTAGGCTAAATGAAATAAGTCAGAAGGAGAAAGATAAATATTTGATGGTTTTACTTATATAGAGAATACAGAGAAACCAGTCAAAGGGTCAGAAAGAGATAAAAAGCGCAAGCTGACCACAGATCAAGGCATACAGCAGAGAAAGGGGAAGGGAGGAGGTCAAACAGGGGAGGAGAGAGCACAAGGGACTATGGTGATGGATCACAGGTGTGGGAACTATATCTGAGGAGAGAAATCAAATACTGTACAAAAATGAACAACAATGTAAGAAAATGAATAAACAAATTTTTAAAAATCCCATAAATCCTTTGATACTTTTCTTTTCAATAAGTGAACTTAAAACCTTTCCATTTCAATGTGGGCTGGACTTAGCGACTTCCTTTTAGCAAATGGACAACAGAAGAAAGAATGGCATGTCACACCCATAAAACAGATTTCTGTCTTAATTGTGCCCGCTCAATTTGTCTGTCTCTGGCATCACCTGCTCTCAGTGAAAGCCAGCTGCCGTAATAAGGACACTTAGACAGTGTGTGGAGAGACTCATGTAATGAATAACCCAGGTACACAGGCCACCATATGGAAAAGCCTGGAAGTGATCTTCTCAGAATATTCTAAACCAATTGCTGAAGATGGGAAACATATTCTCCCCAGTCAAGTCTTGGGCTATAGCCACAGCTGACAGCAACCACATGAGCTATCCTGACCAGAACTAGCTATTTAAGCTGCTCCCAGATACTTGACTCAAAGAAACTATGAGATAATAAATATTGCTTATGGTTAGTCACTAAGTTTGGGATAATTTTTATACAACAATAGATAATTACTATAGACATTCATATGTAAAAATAAGAACCTAATATATACAAAATTTATATAAAAATAAAAACTGATTCATAAGCCTAAATACAAAATGTAAAACTATAAAACTTTTACTCCCAATAAAGGAAAAAAATATTTGACTCTGAACTAGGCAAAAGAAAAATCTTACATAACCAAGATCTTGATCCATAAAAGAAGAAATTTATAAACTGAATTTCAGTAAAGTCAAATATTTCACACTGTGAAAGACAAAACTAAGAGAAGGAAAAGAAACTAGACCAGAAGAAAATATGTACAAATAACATTTCACAGATGACTTATCAAGTATTTATAAGGAATTCTTGACACTCAACTAAAAGAAAAAAGAACCGATACTAACAATGGGCAAAAGATCTGAATAGACACTTCACCGAAGAGAAATAATTTTCAAATGAAAAAAGAAAACCCTTGAAATTGAATAGAATGATTTAGTTTTAGATTAGTATATTTTAGTAAAATACCCAATAAATATTTGCATATAGAATCCAATAATATTTTTAAAATCAAGTTGGTGTCTTCTGCTTATATCCATGAGGGAGTAACAGAATTGCCACTGACATTAAAAAGAATAAAACTGGACAGAATATATAAGGGGACGCTTATTCTTATTTTTTTTGCAGGGGCAGTAATAATACAGCAAAAAATAAAAATGATCTCTGTGAGACGAGAGCACTGCAGGCTGTGGCTTCCTCACTGAAGCTTCCTGCACAGGGAGGAGGAGCTCACGTGGAAAAAGCTGTCTCATCAGGCTATGAAGAAGGAGAATGGGGTTTGCAGGGCAGAGCAAGGAGGAGAGGGGGCTGCGTGGAAGGCTAGTCCAGAAGTACTGTGTCCTGGACTGAGGGCCAGTCTGTGCCCAGGCCAAAGCGCCATACCATCCATCTACCAGTGAGTGCTGTTGTGGGATTGGGACCTGGACTTACACCCTGAGGTTGAGTCCGAGGGCAAGTTAGGGTTAATCAGGCAGCTTCAGGGACTGTACAGGCAGGGACTGTATAGGCAGGGACTTTGGGAGAGTAAAAGAGGCTTCTGAGATAAGGAAATATGGAAGGCAGTAAAATTTAAGGCTATAATTTAAGGCTAATTGGAAAAGAAAATTTTAAGGGATTTCGGACAGCGGAAATAAAAGGAGAAACTCCAAGATAAGAGCTAAGAAATGGGCACATTGCCCAGAGGAGTATAGCCACTGGGATAAAGTGCTAATTGCAAAACAGGATGATGACATTTTGGAGTAGAGAAAAAAAGGCTTAAATATTGCCTAGACACAGGCCTATGAGGAGTCTTCTGCCCCTCCTTGGCATTGCTGCCATGGAGTCTTTGCATTTGTTCTTTCTCCTCTATACTTTCTTGAATAGTTCACATCTCTCTGCTTACTTATCTAAAAAGTCTGTGAATTCCTTTTTATGGCTTCATGGGACAAGAACATGTGGTAGTTCAAGGGCTAAATTAACAGTGCAAACCAGCTTCAAGTGACATAGTAGATGCAACAGACAGCAATATAAATGAGGTTGCTTTTTCATGATAAATGATGAATTCTGGGAGACAAATGTTACATAAATGAAAAAATGGCTCCTGTATATTTGTCCCTACATTGTTTATTTCTTCACAGCAGGTGGAGACTCTTTATAATTCAAAAGCCCCCGGCACCAAAGTCCAGCATTCATATAGCCAGTTCTCAATGTAGCCCATAGAAGGAGATTTCCAGCCAACAATAGCCACTTTGTTTATATTGCCATGAAACTGCACCAATATTTGCCTGCTGTAAGTAAGATGCTGTGGCAATAGGACATCAAGAGGCTGCACTTGCCCTTCAGAGCTCTCAGACCTGGAGACTCCCTGCTCTGCTGCAGAGTGGCACTACCTAGACACGGAAATCCCCGCTAGAATTCTCTCCCTAGGAGATCCTCGGCTTCTCCTCCTTCCGCATGGTAGCCCCTCTTGAAAATCTATTAAGACATCACCCAAGTAAAGCTGGTGTGTGCTTTGCTAACTTAAGGTCCTGCCTTTTTTCTTGATCAGCACCAAATTCTGCAGAATCTTTACAATAATGTATAAACATCTTTAAGGTGCTAAAAGAGGGAAAAAAGACCTAACAACTCCTGATTTTATATCTAGAAAGATATCATTTAAGAATGAGGGTGAAATAAAGATATTTTCAGAATTATCTGCTAGCAGGCATAACCACACCACAAGAAATGTTAATGTAAGTCCTTTATATTAAAAAAAAATGATACCAGATAGATTTACAGGGAAGAATGAAGGGTATCAAAAATAGTAAATATGTGGGTATATATTAAAATCTATATTTTTTCTTTTCATTTCTCTAAAAGATAAAGGTTTGCTATAGTTAGATATCATAATACTGTATTATTCAGTTTATACTGCATCTATAATAAAATATATGACAAAATTGTACTAAGAGTAGAGAGTGGCAAATCAATGGGAACATAAACACATGCAACTAAATTGTCAATGTTCAAGGTAAAGGTAATCAGGTAAGTTAATTATAAAATTATAAACTAAACCAAATACATAGTGAACCTGGAATGCCACATACCAAAACAATAACAGGATCATGTAAAGGTCCATCGGTGTGAAGAGTTTCAATATCATCTTCAATGTTATAATCCCATTCCACGCCAAGATCTATGAAGGTTCGAGACTTGGCTTCTTCTCCTTTGCCATTTAAAATATAGTGGCCTGTAGCCTGGTTCTTAATAGCTAAAGGAAGGAAAATGAGTAACTGGCATGCATTTCACTTTATTACATTACAGTTTTGCGGATCCATAATAAATCTTTTCCTTTCTATAAGTCAAAGACCATGTTCATGAGCATCAAGGCAATGAAAATGAGTGTTACTTCTGTTATCACTCCCATTTCCTTCAGTGGAAAATCAAAATCCTCAAAAAGCATTTGTAACTTGTCAAAAAGAGGGCAAGATGATTAACAGAAGAAGAAAACTGGCAAATATTTCCATTTGAAAACAGTCAGAGGTTTAGTTTCTAACTCATTCGCCCTGTACATTTCCTTAGAAAGCTGAGAATATTCTGAAAATAATAGATGCTTCTACAATAGTTAATACAAATCATTTATGCTAGGACAGTCATAAAGAACATGACTTCTTTACTGTGTATTTCTTTTAAATGTCTTAAAATGTCTGTAGATAACCCATTAGTTGGCTACTGATAGTTCAACACACAATTCAAGGTCATATCACTACTTAATATAGCTAGGGAAAGCTGGTTTCTGGTGATAGATTTCTTAATGTATTATAGATCAATTATATACTATAAAATAAAATGTTTTCTGTAGTGGATGAAAATAGGTGAGACAGGTTTGAAAGTGTTGTTCAGCGTATGATAAGTTAAAAGAGAAAATTTTGTTATTAACATACTAAAAATGTGCAGTAAAAATACAATTTTAGTCAAATACACATTTCTTTTGAGAATTTTAAAGTAGGGTAATGATATGAGATCTAGGATAAAAAATGAGAGATTTTAATTACTGGAAAAAGAACTGTAGTTGGTGGCTAGACTATTATGGAATCTAATAGTGAATATAATTTAAATAATAAAAAACAACATGAAACATCACAAAACAATTTGTTTTTTAAGTTATACATTAAAAACAATTAACTATAAATTTTCATGGGCTTGATAGATGATTCCTCAGTTTCAGAAAACTTAGTGTTTTACTACGTCAAGGAATATATGAAGGTTATATTTACATACATACACTTGGAATATAAAATTTTTTAAAGTTGTATTTCTACATGATCCTCTCAAAAAGGAGAAAAAGAATCTTCTGGAAATTATAAACAGCCATGCGAGTACATCTGCATGTGCCAGTCAGAAACTTGACACATAGCAGATACAAGAAAAAATTTTATTAGACTATAAAATTCATGTGTGAGTGCTCCTCAGTCAAAGAAATTAAAATGCAACAAAATAAGGAGAGGCATACAGTATAGCATAAAAGCAAATATCAGAACTAATTTGTCAACATAAAAATGGCAAATATTTCTGATATTATACCTTAACTTAGTACATTTTAGTAACATTTATTTTTTCAATCTCTAATATAGAGAAGTAATGCACAACAAATGCAAACTTGTCAAATAATTTTTTCCTCTTGTAATAGTGACCTGAACCCAGATTTCACCAAAAATTAAGACTCTATTTTTAGGGAATATAAAAATAAAATTAAAATTAAAAAAAAAACAACAACTCTATTTTTAGATATTCCTTGTTTTAAAGAAAGAACAGTTGGGAGGAATGATCAGCAAAAACCACATAATATGCATTTATATAAAATTTTGAATTCTGCGTATCTATGTGTACATATATGTGTATAGATATGTACACATCTACACATACATATATATCTGTTTACAGCTACTTGTGGTATAGATAGATATATATATATGATTTCTTTGACATTTCCTTGTTTAAGTGCATGTTAAAGCAGAGTTAGCTGACAGAAACACTTACCAAGAATATGAGGAGAAGCCTCGTCTTCTTGGATTAACACATGTCTAGCACCAGGGGGTATATCAAACATCTTAAGGTACCCTTTGCATGTGTAGTAAATGTTGGAGGAAGCAAAGAAGAAAACAAAAGCAACAACCATGGTTAGTTGAGCATTATATTCTTACTGCTTCTGCATGCAGAAGAGGGCATCCATAAACCGAAAGAAGCAGTTTCTGAAATTCACTTCAAAGCACCGGGAGCTCTTGGGGCATCTAGCATGAGAGTAGTGGAAACTTTTTATTTAATTATAGGGGAGGAAAAAAAGCTAATCTTATTTCTAACTTATTAGTCATTTATCTTGTTTACTTAGGAATTGTGTCCACAATTCATGAAAGTACTACACTTTGTCCTTATTTGTGATTTTATTTTTCTAAACTACCCTTTTAAAGTGGGGCCAATTACTTACTGTACTTAGTTGGTGAACCTGAGGTATTTTATCTGTCTATGTGTATTTTAAAAATTGAAAGTGGTAGGTACAGAGAGCAAATCATTAAAAGAATGACATCTTCATATTTAAAAGCCTGCTTTATTTTTTAAAATTACAGAAGAGTAAAGTCAGTAGCTTTCATTTTTTCTGTGATCAGTAATTATATTATGGCAACATTTTAAAATATGTATTATAGATTCGACAAAACCATTTGGAAACTATCTGTAAGCTTGTTGTGTTTTGCCTTCATATGCACCCCAAATGCAATCCTCTAATCCAGAAGAAATAAAACCAGTATGTTCAGTGGGTTGCCTGTGATTTTAAAACAAATATCAATCCTACTATAGTTAATATCATATCTAAAAATCTTTTTCATTATTATCACTTATCTAAAACATATCTTGAGACTGTGATAGGATACTTCTGAATCATATGCAGTGCGAATCATAAATGCATGTTGCCTCAATTAAAAAAAAAAAGGAAAATAGTTTCAAAGTTTGTTTAGGTAACTTTCCAGAAAAATGGGTATGGAGAAGGGTAGGGAAATTATCAGAAAAATATCTCTCAAAACTAAAAGTGAAAAATAAAAACAATTAGACTTCAGAGAAACAAGCAAAATAGGAGAGTCAACAGGAACCAAGGTTTCCATCTGGATCTCATTTTGGGCTTGCCTGGGTGGTATATTTTTTTCTGTCTTCATACTTTTTTTCTTCTCTAAATTGTTAAATTGATGGAGCGCTCTCTCTCTCTCTCTCTCTCTCTCTCTCTCCTATCTCTCTCTCCCCTAATTATAAATCAACAATAAGGCAAATAAGGAAATCGAGATCTTGTACTTTACTTCCATCAAAAATAAATGAATATAGGAAGATTATGCAACTGATGCTATCCATTATAAAACGTCCAACTCATTTGCTACAGGATGAATACAGACAGAAATTCAAGTATGTACACATAATTGCTGATGGTATCATAAAACACAATTTTATGATTTTGCATATGGGCAATTAATACCTACCAATGGGTAGACTTACTCAACGTTTTTACAACATTTATTAATGTTTTAACTAAACGGAGTGATTGTTTTGGGATCGGAGTTTGGGGCACCTGAGTCTGGATCAAGTGCAATACATGAAATGAACATGCTTGCCTGAGTGTACAATGGCTGGAAATAACATGCTTAAGATGCAAGTACAGTGAAACAGCTTGATGCCACTTATGGATGCCCATCTTTCTGCAGTTTGTTACTACTTACCCAGTACATTTTTAGCTTCCCTTGTTTCAGCAAGAGAAATATTACGAGCTCCTTTGGGTAAAGTGAAGGCGCCTCTTGTCTTCCCTTAAATAGAATGTCTTTAATTAGTGCAGGTTTCATGTTTATCAAAGTCTTGCTGTTTCATTGACTATACTATAGGCTATATATTTTATTAGGTAAAATGTAAAATATGTTCTGTAATTTTATATGTTGAACTCAAAATAAATTTATAGTAGTCAGCTAATGCCAATAAATTCTTAATAGTCAATGAAAGTAAGACTAAGCATGAATGAGAAATGATATAGGTGATTTGAAGTTGAATACTTGCAGATTTCATTTTCCAGCAACTTGAATTCTTTATGGCACCTCTTGCTTAAATGTTTCCCTGTTGGAAAAGGTTAATTAGTCTATTGAATGACTATGAGGACAATATTAGTGCAAAGAAATGGATGTTAAATTGTCTTTGAACAGTTTGAAGCTGTATGATAGATGAAAGTGTTCTGACCTTGATTTGCAGGTTTAGCATAATTTTTGAGGTATCTGAAAAAAAGTATCACTACCTTATATTACATATAATACAGAATGGGTGATTATGGCAAAAAAAAAAAAACTTTTTCCTTACATTAATCCACTCTGGAAATAAAACAAAATGAATTATTTTATACCTAAAGCATATAATATATAACTGTAATAAAGCAAGCACAGTAAATTTCACAATAAGATGGAGAAAAGTACATTTTATTCTGCTAGAGTCACAATATAAATGTAATTCAGTTTGTTTTATTAAAATAATATAATCAATCAAAAGTGGCAATATTTTTAAAAATAATTTTTAAAGCAAAAACAGTAAATCATTATACAGGAACAACAAAGATATCAATACGGGGGGGGTGTCCCTATGAGAAACACAGTTCCTAGGTCTGCCCTGCCCTGTTGGGTAGCTGGGCTACAATGGGAATAAATTGAATTAAGAGACTCACTACTTTTGGATAAAGACTAACATAATTCTTATCCTTTATTTTCTTCTAAAAAGGAAAAATTACTGCCATGACAATGTACCAAAGTCGACCAAATCTTTGTTTTTGTTTTGTTTTATATCATTTTTCTATCATATAAGACATATCAGGGTAGTGTTTTGGATAATGTAAGAGAAGAGTCTCAAAGATACTAAGTTTATCTTTAAATGCTGAGGTCCCATATACTTTTGCCCAATAAATGCTTATTGAATAATTGAATATTTGTTACAAACAATTATTAAGCAATAAATGTTTATATCCAAATCCTTTATGAAAATTCAGATGAATAATTATGAAACTGCTAATAATGTTGCATATCATGTGCTGCTCTTTTGTTCCAGCTATTGGAACTTTCAGGACCTACCTAACCTAGGTCCAGGTCAGTGAATATGTAGCAAGCACAGAGGTTCACACATAAGCAATGATATCTCAGGTTAATTTTTTATTGTGTCTCAATTTTAATATAAAATATCAAAGGTTATGTAAAACATAACCCTCATTTTATAGACTGATAAATACAATCACTTAAAAGAGGCAAAACTTAAAAGAAGTAAAACTAATGTAATGTTTTAAAAGTTAGACTTTCAGTTTTGTGATTTTTTTTAACTTCTAAATCAACTTATATGCAACAGGAATTCAAAATAAGCATTCATTCTAATTATTAGGTCTAATGTACTTTTTTAAAATCACAAAATAAAACCAATTGAAGCTAACTACTATAATATTGATTTTATTTACTCTTTATATAAATTTAATAGACAGTTTTACATCATGGATGTGATGTTATATGAATTATCAAGGTTGCTTACTTCTAGTAATTTTTAAGAAGTAAATATGAATTAAAAATAATCAGCAACTAATAATTTAATGTTTTAGAGAAAATTCTGTATTCCTAAAAGATGTCTCAAAAATACAAATGAGAGAGAATTATACTAACTCATGAGAAACTTCATCTTACCAAGCTTCCTTGGTGTCCTCGTGAATGTCCCTTTTACAGTTCGACAATGGGAATTATCGCCTCCACAGACTCCACACTTGTCCTCAACCTTGTTAGAACCGATTTCTTTATCACAGCCCACTTTCTGAGAAGAGAAGATTTAGCTGTGGCTAGTTTTATGTGCCAAGTAAAGGTTAGCATACTGGAAACTGATGAACCATTTGTCTGATTATGAGCCCGCATCAGGGTTGCACCAAACTTTCACTCAAGTCCTGATTTTGAATACCTCAATCTTTTAAAGAATTACCATGAAATCAAACAACTGGTACTCTAGATTGAATTGTACTCTGGGTAATTTTCCCCCATCTACTGGACTAATTACCCCAACACACAAGTCATCATTATCAAACATTGATTACACACAGAAGCTGTAGCTGATACAGACAAAAAATAAGATGTACTTATCCCTTGTTCTCATATTCATAAAGATGAATAATAAAATAGTGAGTCATACATTAGCACAAGTTGATCAGGGATGTGAGACAAAACATCACAGAGATGGTGGAAATTTTCATAGGGCCTTGAAGGAACAGAGTGTGGAAATATTTCAAGAATTCTAAGGGGTTAAATAAAGTCTTGGAAGTTGCAGGTCCATGGAACTGAGTCTAGGAACAGTATTTCAACAAATGGAAAGTTGGAGTTTTATGACAGGGGAAGATTTGTAAAGTATAGGTCATGGAAAACCTTGAGAATCAGGAGTTTACATTTTCACATTAATTTAACAGGGTGCTACTGAAATTTACTGAACTGGGGCAGGTCGTGAATGTAAATCAGTGTAGGTAATGATACATGGTACAGCACTACACTCTTACATTTGGGATACAAATGGGCAGAGACAGTAGTGACAGCACATAGATCTAATGCATTAGATACTGTGGGAGGTGAAGGACAAACACAACACAAATTCTATTTCAGGGAAATGCTAGTTTAACTATGAGGCATATGTATACTTGAGATTCATTAATATAAAAAGTTAGTTGTGTTGAAGTGAAAAAGAAACAGGCAGAAATAATGTGTTTAGTTGGTAAGGATAATTCATATCAACTTGTGAACATGAACAAGAAAATGAACTGCACTTTTAACAAAGATAAAATAGGGCACAACCAGTTTTGTGTCTTCACTAATTTTTATCTGCTGTGGAACTCAGCACTCACACTTAGAAGCAATTGTAAGGGGGAGAGAGAGAGAGAGAAAGAAGTTTTTATTACCTTTTAAACAACATATAAAATATATTTAACAGAATTTTTTTTTTTAAAGACTGTATTTTGATAGCAGATGGGTACCAGTAAAATACGCTGCAAGGGCATTTTTCCCAAGTTGTAGGCCCAGACTAATGCACTGGAGTAACTCAGAAAAAGCATTTGGTGGAGAATTAGGAAACTGTTTTTAAATCTTGATTCTGTCAGTCACCAAAATGACTTCAATATCACTTAAAAGTAAAATTTTAGGTAAAAATCAATGCAATTTCTCCTAAATTTGGTTTAACTACTGAACTATTTATAGACTCTCCTTCTAATGTGATTTTACAAATAAGAAAGTGTTAACAATTATTTTGAAAATATGCAGGAGAAAAAGACAAAACTTGACCATAAAGTTGGTCAAAAGTTGAACATAGATCTGAGGCATACAGCAAGGGAGGGGGAGAGGGGTCAAAATGTGAAAAACACAAGGGACTATGGTGACGGAGTATGGATGCTATAGTGGTGAGAGAACTACAGGGCCTATGCCTATAGGAAGAAATAAAATACCATCCAAAAATGAACAATGATGTAAGAAAATAAATGAAAATAAGAAAAAAGAAATTATGTAGCAGAATGATAGTGAAAGTAGAATTGCATGATACTATGGATCTATTTTGAAGACTTGCTTGAACTCACCACACACTCTCCTCGCACACATATGCTGTAAGGGTCTTTGTATGAGCAGCGCGTTCCATCATGTACCAGCTGCTTCATGTAAGCGACATCGCCACTCTCTTTGGATTGACAGTAAAGGTGGCATCTTTTCTTGGCTGTGTAAGATGAAGGATTTGATCAGTTATCTATATAAAATGGCATATTTGAATAGGACTATTTATTTTACTTTTAAAATATCTGATGTGGATTCTGGAAAACAAGGTATTATAGAAGTCAATGAAATAAAGAGTGGAGAAAGTATATTATTTGACATATTTGTTTTAATCAGGTGACCGTTTGATTTGACATCTTAACTGGGATTTTTGAGAAAAGTGACTTACGGACAATAGGTATAAGCTGGGACTATCTCAGGTCAATCACATTTTATGGTAAGATTAGACTTAACCACAGATTTCCAATAAACTTTAATTCATAAATCAGTTAAGTTTTAGTAATCCTTAGAGAGCTATAAGAGTTTTTCTTTCATTTGACCCAATGAACTACTATAGTTTTTGCCTCTTATTGAATATAATTTGTGATTTGTTTCACAAAAATAGATGAAAATGTGTTTCTTCTTAATACATGACAACTTTAAATTTCTATGTGTACGCATTTTCCCCTTAAAACAGCTTTTAAACTGAACATAACTGTTTATCATATCACATGATAATCATGTCATTATTTTATTTACAAAGAAAAGCCCTCCATACAAAAAATTATCGCAAGACATCCCCTTTTGAACATATTGAACTGAAAATCCAGGGGTAGGAAGTAAACATTAAAAGAATTTCAAAATGTATTTTCCTAACTATGGTACAGTATAAAAGTAAAAGTTTGTAAAGTGCATTTTGTTATTAAATAAATAATGCTCTTTTTCTTGTGCCTGACTCAACTGTAAAAGAACTCAGCTGTTCTGCAGCTATTCAGAAAGGAAAACTCACATTATTCCAAATGCATTTCCTAGTCGACGGACTTTAGCTGTAGGAAGAAGTGCAATGTCTCTCCCATGCATCAGTATGGTGGTGGTAGGGGGGTTGCCAACATCTATTCCACAATCCTCACATCTCTGGGAAAGGCAGTATGTTGCCCTTATCTTGGAAACCCAGGAGGGCTTGCCCCCATCAATCCCAAGTTTTCTAAATAACCAAGTAGGGATCAGGAGTCCAGAGGATTGGTGTAGACAAAGCTTAAACTCTGTGTAACTGTCCACATGGCAGGAAAAGAGCGGCGGGGTCTACTCACACTCAGGGTGTTCATATGGCAACCAGTGGTGTTTGGTGCTCTGGTATTCAAAGTGGGAGTTACGCTGTTGGCACTGCTGGGCTCTGAAGTCCTCAAAGTGCTTTTGGCATTCTTCTGTGTTACAAAGCTGGTACTCAAAATTAACACCAGGACAATCCTGACCACCATTGATGGGCCTAAAGAAAAGACAACATTTAAAAAGGCCTTTTGGCTCTGACCCAGCAGCTGAAGGCTGCAGACACAGTGCTGTAGGGCAGAAAGCCAGGGCTTCTGAGCTGCCAGCACAAAGTGAATGAACTCATACTTCCTAATTTCCATCCCTTTCCAAAAGCACTATCCTCTCCCTGATGGGTGAAGGGGCAGGAGAAGGGAGGCCTAAATTCAATTTAAATCAGATTTTCCAACAGTATATTTTTTAAATGCATGGAGAAAGTATCTGAATATATCTATCTATCTATATATATATGATAGCAGAGAAATGACATTTTCTATCATGTATAAAACATGTAGATGCAACCCTGAGCAACTGTAATCACAGACCAGTTTTCTCATATGTAAAATGCAAATGATAATCCTATCTTCCTTAGAGAAACACTGAGAGGATTAAATGAGTTAACATTTTAAATCTAAAAGAGGTCATGGCTCATAGTGAAACTTAACTGGACTTATTACTGTAATTTTTATTGTTTTTGTTACTTCTAATACAACTGCCATCTTTTCCTGTAAAGATAGGTATATGACACTCAATCTTTTTGGAAAAAATATGTTCAGTCATCTTGCCGTCAGAGACAGAGAGAAAGGTCTGCTCACATGTTAAAGCTCAAACAAGTAAGAATAGCCCATGTTTAGTATTTCCGTTATTTTTTTTCCTTCAGAAAAAAAAAAGGTTGTTCAGTTTTTTGAACACATAATAGGGATTCAATAAATTTAATCTGGGTGAAGGGATGGATAACTGTCCCCCTGGCCACCTTTTACCCTTCTCTGTTGCCCGGCTCTGGGCTGAGTGAGCCCTGGGCTGGAGCTGCTCCCTCTGGGAAGCACCTGTGCTTCTCGCAGGGGACCTGGCAGCCAGGTGCCCAGGTACCAAGAGCACAATGACCACAGTCACCTGCTGTCTTGCTCAGCTCCTCACAGCCCTCAAGAACAATTTCCGCAAAAATCTCGTCTCTTAACTGGAGCCTCTCATCTTCATCACTGACAACTCTTCACAAGATTGAAAAATGGAGATTTACCCAAAATAGACACTTACTTAAGTCCTCAATTTTCATGTTCTGTATTTTACATGCACTTTAGGAAACACAATATTAATGACATCATATTGAAGCATTTTTTGGCTTATCCAAAAAGAGGCAGAATTACAAGGGTTATACTCACATTGGATTATTGCACTGGCGTGTTCTGAAACGAACACCAGTTCCGCAAGTCCGGGAACAGGAGCCAAATTTGGTCCATGACCCCCAGTTGCCGTCTTGTTTTTGTTGATTAGCATTCTTCCACATGCAGTGGCCCTTATAGCACCACTTAGGGGGTGACAAAAGGCAAATGGTGATAATCACGCATAAGCTAAAAACTGAAGCTGTTACATAAGAGCCACCAATTGAAGGGCTGCATTGCCTTTTCTTTCCAGGTGAAATGCATTTAATAGTAGATGGCTACCAGTATTTAAAATCATCCAGAAGCAATAACAGCTTTATAAGAAGGGCCATTTAGATTTGCATTTTTAAGTATAAAATTGAAATGAATGCCACATTCACTTACACAAGTTTTTCAATGACACACAGTGGGTAAGGTAAAAAAGTATCAGGCTTTTCTGCCATCTCGCCATTAGGACTGATGATGGATCTGTGGTCCTGAAAGCATGCCTGATGGCGGGCACCTGGAGTGGGGTGTGGGCCTATGTAGATGGGATTCACCTGGACGAAGACTGGGCTTATAAGGGCGGCGTCACAGGGACACCAGCAAAGCAGAGAGCGAAAAAGAACAGAGTAGAACAGCAGAGTGAAAGAGAATCAGAGACCATGAGAGAACACTGGAGAGCCCAGAAAGAGTGAAGACCTACCAGCCTCCTGCCATCCTCACCCCCCCTCAGCACCCCTGCCTGCTGTGTACCTGGTAAATCCCAATAAAAGCCTGCAAAAGCTACTGAGGGCTCTAGGAGTCCTCCTTACCCTATCTGCTCAGGTCATAGAAAACCTGCCCTGTGTCTTCCTGCCGCTACACCTGTCTGCTCAGGTCATAAGAACCTGCCCCGTGGCCTTCCTGCTGCCACACACACTGACCAGTGAGTATCAAATCTCATAATCAATAAGAATTATCTAAGCACCCAAGTTGCACAGCAAGTGCAGTTCTACCTTTTGTCCCTCGTTATCCATAGTATCAAGATTTTAAGGACAATATATTTGCATGTAAAATAATCACAATAAAGTATATGCCTTAGCTTAGAAAATAATGTAACATGTCCAAAATATATCTAACTTTCAAAACACTTTTACATACATAAAAAAAATGTCATTAGCAATGATTCTGAGAGATAGGTAGGTCAGATATTTTATCTTTACCCTTTAGTTGAGGAGAATTAGGACATGGAAAGGATCATGAGTAGTGCCAGACCATCTGACCAGGACATAATTAAATGAGGACTGCTTAAAACCCTGGTATCATAGAGATACTTAGCTTACAGTGTGCAGCATACAAGGTGCTCAAATGATGTTCATTTTTTCCCTTTTAGCATTTCAGCTTGTTCTTTTTTTATGTTACAGACAACACAAGTGCTTCTTAAAACCCAACTTTGGTAAATTTGAACATAACAGAAATACATTTATAGAAGTTGAATGTTCAAGTTGAATTACAAGATATGTTTTTCATAAAGCAAAAATGAATCAATTTGTTATTGCTCCTTTGTTAGTCAAAGGTTTAAAATATTCAATTTTCCAAAGCAATACACTGTGTGCAGTTGTTCAGCACAGTGTCTAACAAAGTTTAAACATGAATAATGGCAGTTTCTATTATTATTATTTTATGCTTTTCATTTGCATAGTGAGTACAATTTATACATATTTGAAATAGACCTCTAAAGAACTAAAAACTACATAAATCTTTCTTGCCAGTTTTTGAGTCTGTCTACAATATCTTATTTCCAAACTAGTCAAGGCTCTTCAACTTGAGTTCTTAACATGGCTTTGTTTGGGTTTTGGCGCTCTCTCCCCTCTGTGAGTAGCGTAGCTTGGCATTTGGCCAGCTTCTGAGCATTCAATCCTGACTACACAACTTGAGATTTAAAACCTCTGGGCATCGTTCCCCAAGGAGCATGGCCAAATCTTCTGTATAAATTCATGGGACTATTTCTGGACAACTTTCACAAGGAGTGGGATGCCAGCAAGTAAATCGAGTTGCACTAGCAGGGGCCCAGCTATTCTGATGAGCTGCTGCTTCCTATCTCTCAGCAGTGAGTTCACGTGGTCCCCCAAATGTCGGGTCCTAAATTCTGGGATCTGTAAATGCTACCTGATTTGGGAAAAGGTCTTTGCAGATGTAATTAAATTAAGGACTCTGAGATGGGATTATCCTGAATTATCCAGGTGCGACCGAGATGCCGACACAGGTACCCTGATAAGAGCAGGGCAGAGGGAGATTTATACACAAAGAAGAGAAGGGGTAATGAGGCCACAGAGGCAGTGACTGGAGTGGCGCAGCTACAAGTCAAGGAATGCAAGCTGCCTCCTGAAGTGGAAGGAGATAAGGGACAGATTCTCTGTTACAAACTCTGGAGGGAGTAAAGTTCTGCCCACAAATTTTTGGACTTCTGGTTATCAGAACTGCAAGAGAATAAATTTGTATGATTTTAAGTCACCAAGTTTGTGGTAATTTATTATAGCAGACATAATGCATGACATATCAAAACCTTAGGTACTGTGGCTTTCATTAAAATAACACAGCTATGATAAAAACTTTCCAGACTTTTAAAGATGATTATTATATGACATAGCTTAAATCTACATTGCATAAATTGATATACTCACTTTTCCAGCAGCACATTCAGTCCCATCCAGTGGGGGGCCTTTTTTAGTCTTACAAAAGTAGGGATTATCAGGATGACTACACCACAGTTGTTTGCATGGGTCAAAGGTTCGGAACTAGAAGAAAGAGAGTCAAAATCTCAATGAAATACAGATGACATGACATGCGCCAAAAATATCTTGTATAGTTTCCTTATGTCATTTTAATTGAATATTTTGAAGGTAAGATGAAAGATGTGGCATGTCAAGAAAAAAAATACTGCCTAAGAATCCCAAGTAGAGAAAACTTTCATTCTGCTTTTCTAAAATAACAAAGATAAACAACAATTTGTCTGAGATTCTTTGGGTGACTTTAATATTTCTGCCTATCATTTCTATTTATGATATTTAAATAAACAATATTAGAATTTTAAAGAGTAATTGTTGTAAACATTTGAAATATTAAAACTTTTTATATGATGAACTAGTCAGATATACATAATAAAAATGCCCATGGAAATGACTAAAAATAGAAAATATTTGTCATACTTTCTAAGTAAGATAGTATATATTCCAGGTATAACAAAAAATATCACAATGCTTGCAAGTAGTTTATAAAGTACTTTCCATATATTTGATCCTTATAACAATACATCATAGAAATATGGCTAATCCTGAAATATGAGTGACAAGGTAAGGCCATTATTATGGTTATAAGTAAGACACTAACAGAGTGATACTGGAGTCTTACTTTTCTCATTTTTTTTTTAATTTTTCTAAGACATCACATGGTAATAGCCACAAACACACATACATCCATGTGTATACTCTTTACTTGTACTCTGTCTTTCATGCTCTAAACATCTTACCATTCTTTAGATAAAATGTTTTTAGTATTCAATACTAGTTTACCTTCATTCTTAAAAAACTACTTACTTCAGACCTGGAACTTTGTTCTAATTCCTATAACTTAATCAGAAGTACTTTTTCACACTCATGTCAAAGCTTTATAATTCTCAGGTCTAAAATATTAATGCAGGTAATAAAGTGTTGACAATATGTGGCTATACACAGATCAGATGACTATAGGTATCTGCTTATGGAAGATTTCAAACAGCAAATCAATTTCTTAGTACCATGAAATATTTATTTCCTTGCTCTAACACATAAAGCTTGCTCCAACATATAAAATGTTCTTTCTTATTTTATGAACTACTTAAAGATCAACATGGCATTTTAATCAAACGTTTTTCTAATCTGAACAGTGACACAGGACTGGTTTTAATGACTCCATTAGGCATTTACTACGTGGCTGCATTGTGCTAAATACTTTGTTGTTACAGTTTTAATTCTGACATCAATTCTATGAGATTAATACCATCATTATCACATTTTACACATGTGACACAAAGCCAGAGAGATTAAATAAGATGCTCAATGTCATAAGTCTAATAGTGTCAGATCCAGGGCCCTGATGACTCACCCAGTCTCACCAGGTAGCCCATCTGACTGTCATATTACACCATGTGATTCTCAAATGAGACTATGTGGCAAAACTCTTCCCTATGGTCACAGTCACATAGAGTCCTGGCCAACATGGTAGTAAAAAGCAACCTATTGAAGGTTTAAAAGTTGTCTCTGAAGGTCACAAAAACTAAGAGATCAACAGAGCATCGTTGAAAACTGACAATTTTGTTTTCATGTCCAGCTCCCCTATTTATAGACATACTGCTTAATCTCTGTAAGTGTTGGCTTTTCATCTACAAGATAAAAGTACATAGGCTCCCTTCTGGTCTGTCCCAAGAATTAAATAAGATAGTATATTTAAAGCACTTGGGTTTAGCATATAGTGACTTAGCAAACTCCAATTAATTGCACCAATGAGTCTGTAAAGCTCACCAAATAGGAGCTATGCAAAAAGATTTCAAGATGCAAAAATCTAAATTGACTGTAAGTAACATACCGCAGTACACATTTTATAACCAACCCCAAAGTCAAAACGACATTGCTCATCCATAGAGTAATTGATTCCAGGAAGTTCTGGGAGTTTGGGCCAATCATGTTCAAAAGGGTCATCGAGGAGACAGTCATAGGAACTGTAGGAAGGAAAATATTGCATATTGTTAAATGCTCTTTTTTTTTCCAGCATGTCTTAATTGTTATGGTAGGTTACATATGGTAGGTTACATATTCTAGAATACCCTCAACTCATAGAGCAAGGGGACAAGAGCATGCCATTTAAGATTTTAGGTTTCAGTTCCATTTAGAAAAAGAAACTTCATAATTATTCACCCCAGGAAAATAAGCCAACTGTGACTTAGGAAGATAGTAGAGCTGCAACAGTCTTGCTCCTGTCCCTAGTTGAACCCCCACATAGTATAATAGGGCAGGTCCTGACATCAGGCTGTAGAGATGACACAGGCACCATTCATCCTCTTATCATGCTCAACTCAAGTCTGACCATTATTCAAAGATTTCAAAAAGAACTTACTAAAAGGAAATCACAGTTAAAATTCTCTTAAATTATATACCGATGGCTTAAAATACTATGGGTACATTATGGAATAGTATCAGATGCACAGGAAAATGTTTATTGTGAATGACAGTTTTCATTCACTGGGAGTTTTGTTATGATCAAACTTCTAAGGGTTAGTTTCCTGTCTATACTTCTGTGCTCTAACAGAAAAGATCTCATGACACGCAGAAAGGCACATACTGGATGTATCTTTTCAGTTCCTGGCCACTGCATCGGGACCAATGGTAACGATGAAATGCTGCTTGCACCAAAGGGGCCATGACACTTCCCATGGCCGTCTCGTCACCACACCTGTTGCCTTGTCCATCGTGCTCCATTCCCAACCTAGAACAAAGGTGACACCTCACTGGTAAGAATCGTAAGGTCACAGCTTCTGCTGGAATTATGCTTTGAAAATAAGCACAGGGAAATTGGTATTTTTCAAGCTACATGGCTTTCATGGAGAAGCCACAGAAACTGTGAAATAGAGAGCAACCTTACAGGAATGCCTTTCTTATTCTATAGCTATGAAAAGCACAAGACTATTTCTACAAGTCAGTCACTCATTTAGTTTCAGTGCATGACCCCCTCACTGTTTTCAGCTCCCACATTTGGCAAGGAATGAGAGTTGTATGCTGGCATGCACTCTGCTCAAAGTGTGAACAATACTGAGAGAAGTAGGAAAGAAAAGACCTTTTCTTGCTTTATAGCTGTCAACAGTGACTTACACATGGCCAGTTTCATGGGCTACTACAAAAGCAGAAGAAAAACCATCCTCATGATTCAGGGTACAACTTCTCACGGGATGACACATGCCTGTGACTGGAGCATATCCTGTAGAGAATAACAATGGCTTTTATTTTCATTTTATGAGAAGACCCATTAAGAATTACTACTGGACCTTTGCTTCAGAGGAAAAGCTTTTCAGGAAACAGAGGCAGTATTATTTTGCTGTAGCATTGTGCCACATTCTCTTGGGAAATCCACAGGTAACGGGCTCTTAAAAGATTCATTGGCTCTGTATTTGCTCCTTTCCTGAGGGAGGGAGCTGCCCGGGGTTACCATTCTGTTCTTCCCACCAACTAAATCCTTTGTCTTTTTGCGGTAGTGAATGGTCCTTCATATCAAGCACTGATAAAGGGAGCCAGGAATTCCATCAATGTTAAAAAGGAAACCTTCTGGGGCCTCCCTGGTGGCACAGGCGGTTGAACGCTGCACTGTGAAGCTGCCCGCAGCGTCTGCAGCGCGGGTTCAATCCTGGCAGACCGGCAAGAATCCCACATGGTGCGGCAGACCTCTCCCGTCTTGCCTGCTGCTGCCCCCAGCAGTGTATTTCGTCAGTCTGCCTGTTCTGTACCCATGCATCTGGCCTGTACCCTGGTTCTTGTATAAAAATAAATAAATCTTTAAAAAAAAAAAAAAAGAAAGGAAACCGTCCGTCTACATCGGAACTGACTTTGGAAGAAAGCTCTTTGGCAACAGTCGTATCTCTTTTCCCATTCCAAACAGTTAGTGGGAATCATACTGTATTTTACAGCATCCTCTCCATACTCCCAAACAACCATTATGTTAAAGGAAAGTATAACTTATTATAGTTTTTTAGTGGCATTCAATTAACATTGTGAATTTCACAGAAGTCACTGGAAGCAGGAGAAACAAAAATGTAAGCTTGGCGGACGCATGGTGGAGTGTGGTGGTGGAGATGGAAGAGACTCAATGATGCAGGATTACTTTTAGAAAGTCCAACCCTTAGTTTTTCTTCTGTAATTATTGGAAATACCTTGCATTCCAGCAGGTCCGAAGTCTTGCCTGGTTAAGAAAATTGCATGATCATGGTGTTCAGAGTGGTTGGGATCAGATTTTTGTTGTTGGCAAGCCCAGCGACATACATTCTCCAAGCTCCTGGAGGGGTTTCCTCTTTCTATGAGGCTGATGGACTATAAGAACAAATTGTTGAAGACATACATAGCATTTTCCCAATGGCTACCTTTAAAACATTTCTCTGAAGTTAATTATTTGATACTACAGTACTTAAATAATGTATAATAATATTATTGAGGGATTATTTAGATATATACTTTCAATTGAGAATTCTAAGTGCCCATGAATATATCTTCATGATGATCATTACTACTGTGTAAAAGGCAACTGACCCATTTATGGTAAGAAGTGATGCTGAGATCTGCTATTGTGAGGTAGATATCAATCATTTGAGGAAGAATTCTAGTCTAAATATCTCCTGATTCAGCTTAGATTTTTAGTTTCATAGATGTTATGAAAGATTTGGGTATGAGATATTTTTCTTCCTAGAGATGTGAAAGTGAAAGATCTTTTGTGATAATTTTTGGGAAGGTCAGAATTAATCAACATGTGGGGAAATACATTGTTCAATGATTTGGAAAAGCTGATCAAATCTTCATTTATAGGAAGCAAATGATATAAATCTCACACTTTTGAACCTCACAGCAATGAAAAGGGTATACTCTCATCTTGCAGTTCCTTTAGATGGATGGACATTCCTTAGAAAATTGTTAATATCCCATTATAGTGAGGAGTTAAAAGTTCAGAGGGAAAGGCCCCATCCTTCCAGAACCCAGAAGTCTTGCTTCCCACAGAAGTTCTGATAGGATGAGAAACTGAACTTGGAAGCCATAATTAGTCCCTACTTGGCTGACCGACTTGAGAGTTTCATTACATTTCAGCAAATGTTATTATCATTGTTTACATTCTTAGTAAAACTAGTTTGGTTTGTTGTATCTGATCACATACTTGTCCAAACAAATGATTTAACAACCAATAGAAGACTGTTAACATCTCCAGCTGGAGTTGACTTGTTTCAGTGTTGGTGACACAAAATAGGTCAGTTTATGTGATAAACTAAGATCAGTGACACCATCTCATCAGAAAATATGTGGATTTAAATATATCATGAAATGCAAACACATGGATTATTTCCTGTTTGCAAAATATATAATTTTATCAGTATTTCATAACTAGGAGGATTAATTATGGGAGGGGGGCATGTAATTTAAAGATCAAGAAAATTTCCAAATTAGTTACATCCCCTATGCTTTCTTCTCAAGCGAAGAAACTATTTCATCAATTTCATTATTTCCAGAGGCAGGGATCGTTTAGGTCATTTTAAAGCCAACCAAAATTAGTTACATGAAATGCATTTTACACGATTTTGAAACAACTTTTTGTATTCACAAGGATTAAAGGCCTCTTAAATGTAAAAAAAAAAAAAAATGAATGCATAATTCATTTTTATAAAGTAGAAAGATATACATGTAAAACATTGTTTTTAACAAATCGAGAGAGAGCAAGGCTCTTTGTTATTTTCTTCACTGATATATTCGAATAACCTAGGAAGTGGCACACACAGGCACTCAATCTAAATGTTTTGAATGAATAAATACAGCATAAATTTGACAATAATGATAGGCTAGGGACATTCTCTTTCATCACAATGATATCCATTTGTTTTCATTCATACAGTCATGGCTAAAATTAGGATAACCATCTATAATTCCCTTAGATAGAGGAGGAAAGCAAATGGTAATAACACAAAAAAATCATTCATTATCTGCCCAAACTTAGAAAGCTTCATTCATAGTAGCAGTTTCTCTTTCTTAGTCCTGGAGTCTACATAAGACATATCTACACCACACATCAGCTATCAGGTCATCAATTTAATCTATTTGCTAATTCAGTTCTTAATGTTCATAGTTCACATAATTGAAGACACTTTTACCTTTGCATAACCCAGCATTATCATGCGCACCAGGACCACATTTATATGCACTCCAAGGGATTCATCATGGTAAATTTCATTCACCTAGAAACAAAACAGATAGCTACTAAAAACACAAAAGATTATGAGATGCATAACATTTAAGGGGTCAATCTTGTAATCCCAACTGCTGGAAACAAATCACTTTTTAAATTTGGTTTAAGCTGAACTCTAAAATGAGATAAATTATCATTTGGTAAGTTATAACTTACCAAACTCTGATAACTTACCATAAATTTGGATTAGTTCTTAGATATGTGAATTACTGATTTCATAAACTACACAATGCCAGAAACATAGTGATTATTCTCTAAAAGGGCTTCATTGAACTATTTTAGAGTTAAAAAAAGTCCATGTGTGCTATAATCCACACATAACATTCACCAAAGGCAACCACAAAGGGTGACTTTAGTGATGTGTCTGTTACCTGTGAGTGGCCTAAAGATGTGCAGGAAACAGCAAGGATTTGCTTCCAGTGCCCATGTACCCATCAGTGGTGTGACATGTGACTGGGGAGCCATGGAAATGGAGCTGGTGTGCAGGGATTATGTATATCTGCCAGTCAGTAAATGAACTGCCTTCCCAGTGCCCCCACCACCATCACCAAGGAGTGGGTCATCTCAGGCAACAGTTATTTAGAAGCCCTGAAGTATAGAAGTCCTTCAATATTTGAATTAATAAGGACACTTAATAATGCATACCTGTCAGCCCTGTGTACAGCTTAGAAGAGCAAAGTTCTATCAATGCTTTTTATTTAAAGTTAAATAGTCATACAAGTGATTTGATTATACTTTAAAATCATAGACATTAGAATGTAAGCATCCTCCATGATCATAGTGCAACATTTATACAGAAGAAGAAGATGAAGCTGCAGAGATTACCTAACACGTGAAAACACTCAGTAAATTACTGGTAAATAAATATCTAAAGCATCATTGTACCTTTTGATTAAGCTAATGCAAAATCACTGTGAATAAAGTTTACTTAGTAAGTTGGCAAAACACTAGCAGAAATGAGAAAGGTGGAGTTGTCAGGTTAGATTACAAAGTTCTTAGTTGTTCCCGACAAAAGATACCTGATATTTGCCACCATAACTAATAGAGTGATAGAAACCGATTACAATTCACTTTGAGGTCCAGAACACTTGGATGGTAGGTGCAGCAAATTGAAAAAATACAACGGAAGATACTTATAATCTTACAGAAAGGCTTCAAAAAGAAATACAACTCACAAAAAATAAAATGATGTAAAAAAAAAAAAAAACAAGAAATTTATGAAATACCACACAGACCAAGAAACTGACCAAGAAATCTCAAATGAAATGTTTCCAGAATCTGATGGAACTGCACCAAACTCCTTAAAAATCAAGACCTTAAATATAGATTAAAAGCATACTTATTGAATTTGTAAATGGAACAAAAAAGGGAAGAACAGCTAGGATTTAGTTTACACTGAAGATGACAAAGTGTAGTTTAACAAGAAAAGATGTAGAGTCCTTTTAAGTGAAAAAAAAATGCATGTGAACATAAGACATGTGCATTTGGACATGCACATACACGATAAGACCCAATGGTAAGACCCCACTTAATCACTGTTCAAGAGAACCTAAAGAGTGAGAAACCATCTGTCACACACTTTTGTACCACACAGGGAGCACATGCTCAGCTGTTCCACTCCAGGTCAAAGTATATCTGAAGTGTTTAGTTTATTTCTTGTGTGAGTTGTCTTATAAAATAGATACTGACAAACACAAATGTATCCAGAGAAGAGCAAAAAGCAAGGAGTGACGAGCCTAGAAAACGTGTTATGTAAGTTGGGTGGGGAGATGGATGGCGAAGAGCTTGACACTGGAAACTTAATAGTCTCAGTATTCATTTTGGTTCAAGCCCTCACTGCTTAGGTGGTCTTCATCTTTCTGAAACTCAATAAATAGATACAATAAAAATACTACTATCTCATAGGCTGTATAAGGATTAAAAGATTTAATTGATGCATTAAGATTGTTAAAAAAATTATGAATGAGAGAGAAAAAGGGAATTAAGAAATGAGAGGGGTATAGGAAATAGAAAATGTAAAGATGATTTACTAGTCACTATCCAGAAAAGGGGCTCTATTAATTCTGTACAGCTAGAGAAAACAAAACATAAGTTTACACTATAAAAGGGGTATATAAAGAAAAATGAATGCTACGCAAAAAACTATAGTTTCTTATGACCATTTGGCCATGGGCAGATTCTCTTATCTTATTACACTCCTCATACTATCTTATTGAAGACTAACTACCCCCTTCTTTCTGTATTATTAATCTGGTATGAAATTCCTAACAAAATAGTTCCAAAACAAGTACAAAGTGTAAAGACAGGACTGCTACTAACAGATTTATACTCTAAGACATATAGACATAATATAAGAGTTGGAGAAATAATAAGTATCACAGCTTAAAATATTCAAAGACTTGGATTCTGGTCCCAATTATGCTAGTAATAAACTGAGTGACCTTGGGTTGGTCATTTATCCTCTCTGAGTCTATTTTCTCATTAGTAAATCGTAATCGTACTTGCTCTGCCAGCTTCACAAGATTGCCACAAAACAAAAATAAAAATCACGTTAGACACAGCCACCTAGCCACACAAAAAGTTTCAAAGATTTGTGGATCTATCTTCATAGCCGACCTGAAAAGAGAACCAAAAAAATATGACCCCATTTCGTTTTTATTGAAAACGACTTCAAGACATTTACCCTTGAAATTTGTTTAAACTCAGTTGAAAGAAAGGTGTCATTTAAAGTAGCAAATATGAGAAAAATCAATTAACACTAATTTTTAATTTTTTAAAAAGATTTATTTATTTATTTATTTATGCATACAAGAACTTGGGTACTGCCAGAGGTGTGGGGGGTGAGAGGATTCACCAGAGACGGAGCGGGGAACAGAACAGGCAGATGGACTGAAATACACTGCTGGGGGGAGCAGCGGGCGAGTCAAGAGAGCTCTGCCTGCTGTGCCATGTGGGTATCTCCCTGGCCAGGGATCAAACTCGTGCTGTAGTGGCTGCAAATAGCTTCATAGGTTGCGTCTTAACCCCTTGTGCCACCAGGGAGGGCCTAACACTAACTTAAAAAAAAAATACCATTGAAATATTGTTCCAGCAGGTGGCAGTATGCACATTGTAGAAGGTGGTAAAGGACAGGCTGTGTAATACACCTGAATGTATTCTATAGTTACATACTAGTTGTTGTGTCTGCTTTTTCATGTTTACACATAAAAAAGTCACTGCCTTAAAATTAAATAAGATTTGTAAAATATTCTAACTTGAGGACAATATTAAGTCATCTTTCTCTTAAAAACAAAGAAAAACATTGAAGACAATTTTAATTAGATTGTTCTTCAGTGTCATCTGATTAAAACATTATAGAAAGGCATAAAAAAACTCTCATGATCTGGCTTTAAATTAATCACAAATTTAAACAATCAATAAATGATAGACATGATAAGAAATAAATACATATCATATTGAATGAACCATCTGAATCTGTCAGATGAATGAAAATGATATTTAAGGAAGCAGTTTTACAAGTCTTAATGAAAATTAAAGCCGTTTTCCCCTAAGTAATAGCAATATCAACAACAAACAAAATGAAAAGCTAATGTGATACAGTGCACTCCAGAGATCAGACACTGTTCTAAATACTTTATCTGTATTAACTCAAGGAATCCTTGTAACAACTTCAGATATATCATTGTCTCTATTATACAGCAAAAGATATTGAGGACTGCAGAGGCAAAATAACTTGCTTAAGGTCACACAGTACCCCGAGAAAAGAATGCACACCTTAGCTTTCTCACTCCTCAATTAGTTTTTACCATATTCCACTATATGGAAGGATTCCCTTCTGCCACCACACTGTCACTGTGCATAGAAGGTGTGGTTTTAGAATAATCAACAGTGATTTGCTACTACTGAGTTTAAGACATTAGCGTGGACCCATATTGAGAAAGAGAACTTAAAAACTTCACTTCCTTTTCATAATCTTCATTTAAATTTTAAGAAAATGAGGAACTGGACTCTGAAATTACTAAAAATAAGGATTTTGTGATGATCAGTATAAAGGTATTCTTCAAAAAATGCCAAGAAAAAATAGAGAGGTGCTAGAGCAGATCACTGCAGAAACTGAAAAGGCAAGATAATGCTATTGAAATTTATAACCAGTGTTTTGAGTTGTAAAGAAAGCATTAAGCATTAACATTCTAAGAAGTCAGGTATTTGACACTACCTAATGCAAATCAAAGTTTGTCTACGCAAAATTGAATAAACTCTCACCATGGAGCCAGTCTATTGGAGCATGGGTAGATTTTCTATGAGGTGTTCAGGGTTGAGCCCAGTCTTTATTAAATTAGCTGAAAGAAGGGGTAAACAGAACATTAATTCAATTTTCAGATGACCTTAAATTGGAAGGGATTGCCAATGATGTGAGGGGGGAGAAAGGTAAAATCAAATCAAGTATTCCTTTCCTTGAAAGGAAAATTCCTTCCAGGTTTGTTCCCGGACAGGACAATTTCTCCCAGGACATTTCCCTGGCAGGACAATCTGACCTGCTTTGTCTGACTAGTTGATGAACAGCTTTGTATGGCTTCAACACAGCAACAATCATTTTTCTTTCAGATGGGTGGATTAGATCTTGAGAGGCAGTGTAGCTGAGTGGTTAAGAGTCTGGGTTCAACAGCCAGATCGCCTGGGTTCAATCTTAGTTACATGATGTTGTTCATGTTACTTAGCTCTCGGCCTCAATTTTCTCATCTGTAAAATGGGCTAATTTTAGTACTGTCTATACAGGATTGTTGAGAAAGCATATATGAGATCATGTATGTGTGCACAACTTAATGTTGTCTGTCCCTTGCAAATATGGAAACAAAAATTGTTAGCCATCATTAGAATTATTATTTACCAAAGCAGCAAATAAGTGGTACAAATGAATATTTTTTTTAAAAAGAGACTTTTAGTCTTATTAAGTAATGATACAAGAGATTAGGTAATTTTAGCTGAACA